ATTTCACTGCGGCCCACCAAAATTTTCTCATGGCCCACCAGTGGGCCGCAGCCACTGCTCTAACGGAAACAAAATGATGGCTCATCAAATAATAGCAGTCAATCATTACATTATATAGAGACTAAGGGTGTACATATACAAGTGCAGATCTTTCTCTTAGGTTGTATATGATAGGGTTCTGTTTATAGTAATTCAGATGCAGTTCAAAAACTGCCTAGCAGAGCAACATTGACATACGATCAAAGGCAGCCAGGTTAATATGTCTTTCTTTTATATTTTGAGTAATATTGAGCCTGTTCCATATTCAAATAGAGCCGTCTAAACTCTGTTTGAGTGTAGGTGATGAACAATTAATATAGAAGTGGTCTTGACAAAAGTTCTTGTTTCTTTTATTATTTGGCGAGTCAGAAATCCTTGGTGATCTAATCACAAACCATATAGAAGTGTACGAGTAGCTTTGACTATTTCTGTTCTAATATATATGTGTGTGTGTGTGTGTGTATACATAATATCATGTAGCTAGCATATCATGTTTTAATTGCCTGCCTGTCAACAACATGAACTCCCAACTGACAGAACCAGATGGTCGGTCTACCTTGTCATTTCAAATACCTTTCACAATGATGGATTTCTGCACTCTTCATTCCTAACTCATAGCCTATTAGATTAGTTAATAAAATGAATATTATCTCTTCGTTTCAGAAGCAATAGCACTTAGACTTATATACTGCTTCACAGTGCTTTACAGCCCCCTCTTACCAGTTTACAGAGCCAGCATATTGCCCCCAACAATCTGGCTCCTCATTTTACCCACCTTGGAAGGATGGAAGGCTGAATCAGCTTTGAGCCAGTGGGAATTGAACTGCCAAACTGCTGGCAGTGGGCAGTCAGCAGAATTAGCCTGCAGTATTGCATTCTAACCACTGCACCACCACAGTGTTTATATCAGACCCATTTTGTTAAGTATCCCATATGTTTTTGATTGATTCTTGAATCAACTTTGTTGAAAATGAATAAAGCATCTTGAATGTTGAGGGCAACTGTCACAAACATGCATACTTCAAAGCATTTTATGTCCACGGTGGCATTGTTTATCACTAGCTGTATTTTCTTAGGGTTTTTTTTTCCTGCACGAAAAATTAATAGGAAATGAATGCTTTACTTAAAATTTTAGAAATGGACCAGCCCTTGGAAGAAATGCACCCCAAACTCTAGAATAGTCTTCCCTATACTGTGTTCTTCAGATGAGCTACTTTTAGTCTTGCTCAAGTCATCCTCTTGAAGAATTCTTAAAGAATTCTTATGTCGTTATTAATAACAGCCATTCAGGCATTTGGAGACCTTTCTTTTCTCTAACCTACATTACTCTAAACTTAAAAGCTATTTCAGTTTTTTACAGCATTTCAGCTGTTTATACTCTTCACTGACAACCTCTTGAATGTGCTAGATTTGTTGGACTTCTTTTTATGACCGCCAAAATTGGAAATTAATATTTTAGTACCAGTCCTTTCCATGCTTAACTCTGAATTAATTCAGTAAATATGCATAGAGGTATAGCTACCATACATACAGAGTTAGGCAGTATTCATGGAAGGATACTTTTAAAATATAGGGATACTCTTCAGATGTTGCTCATCCATTGCAGGAATTTAGTTATAGATTCTGAGATTTGTTTCAGTGATCACACTTGGTGTTAGAAATAACTGCTCAAGTTCTTAAACCTGAGACAAGTGGCCTTACTCTATGTGTGGGGGGGGGAGGGAGGGAGAGAGAGAGGGAGATGGAGATGCTGTGGAGGTCCTTTCTCTGCTCTAAGGTCCTGGCAATAACTGCATCTCTAAATATAATCCTTGCCATAAATCACTCCAGAGTGCACTCTGAAATGTGCTGTACCTTTTTCTCTGACTAATATAGCAAGTAGAAACTTATGAACTTACCACAAACCTGTTCATAGTTGCAGATTTTTATTGGAAGTTCAGGAAATTTATTTGAGAAACTTTGCTAGAATCACAAGTGTTCTATCATGGCATTTAATCATCCTCAGAAAATCTCTGAGGCTGCATTTTACTGTAGTTGCTAGAGAACTATTGCTCCATATGCTGCTCAGTGAATAGTTATATTTTCCAAAATGCTGTAATTGCTTCGACTACAGCTGTAGGCAAGAAGGTGATAGTGTTACAGCTATATTTGACTAGTTCGATACCCATGCTGTGCTATGAAACTGTGGTCGGGCTTAGTTATGGGGGAGGAAAATAAGGGGAAAAAATTATGCCTCTGCCTATCAGCATCCATCAGTATTCATCTGGCTAGCATCAGTATATGAGACTGGAGGGCTGTTTGGAAACTGAAACCGTATTTGCTGTGAGGAAGTAGACAGCAAGGAGCCTGGGCGTGGCTTAGCTCAACTGTTCTGTACTAAAGCTGCTTGCTGCTCTGAAACTGAAACTTCTGCTTGTGTTTTGCATTTGGAATAGATTTCTTTTCAGGTGGGGAGGGGGAGTAGAACTCCTTAGCATCAGAGAGTGCTAATAATAATATATGAAATACTAGTGCTCTGATGGTCATTTTGAAAAATACTTTCTTAGTGACCACCTAGAAGAGGAACATACGTGCCAAATTTCAAGTTTGTAGGCTTTACGGTTCTGGAGATTTTGTGATAATACATGAGTGGTATTTCACTTTTATATGTATAGAAGATTCCAAGGGTGAGAAGAAGATGCATCTCAAAACCTTAATTTTTCACATTGGCCTTGTCCAGTGAATATAAGAAACACAACCAAATGTTGTTGTTTTACAAGAGTAGTTCCTTGTACAAGAGAAGAATGTGTACTCATATTTAAACTCACATGAAAAGTTATGTTATTAGCTGTTCTCCATGATAGTTTTTTAAAAAGATGGCCACAAGATGTAGTGCAACTGGTTTATGTCTAGCAGTAAAATATATTTTATTTCATCTCAATTGGTGAAAAGGAGACAGATACTTCCTAGTTGTTAATTATGTGCTTATGTATTGAATGACATTTATTACTGCCTATATCACACAATAATCCTAGGCAGTTCATTGCAAAACCAAAAAAAAGCAAGAACATAAAACATACCTTCCTACCAAAGGGCCATAATGACCTATACTGTTAACCATCAGACTTAGTCCTATCCTAGTCCTTTGCTACACTGCATTCTGGACCAATTGCAGCTTCCTGGTTGTCATCAAGGACTGTCTCATGTAAAGTGCATTTATTTATTTATTTGATTTGTCAATCGCTTACAAGATAATAGGTATATAAGTATATACATAATTATGAATACATGAAATGGGTACATATAAGGAAAATAAAAGAATAGGACAGGGACGGTAGGCACGTTGGTGTGCTTATGCGCCAATCCAGAAGTGACTGAAACATGAGTGAGTAAAAGCAAGAGGAGCTGTAGTATAACTACATCTTCCTTAAATGATATTCATGGAATCTCATGTTCCTTTGAGGAGCTTGATTTTCTCCAAGCTGGTCCCAACATCCCAGTATGTTCTTATGGATTTTGGATCCATTCCAAAAATGAGTAGCCACCGAAGAAAAGATATTGGCACACTATACCTCAAATAACACGTTGAAACAGTTGAGGGAGAACTGAGTGTGACTTTCGGGTTAAAGTTAGAGAAGATTTCAGTATTCCTTTTATTGCCCCAGTCTATCGTAAAAGAAATTCAGAATTGTTCTTCATTTTTAAAGACGAAGAAATTGTATTCTAAAGAATGTGACAGATATCATGTTACTAATCTAGGTCTAACTAATGATTAATCTGAATATGAATTCCCACTTAATCAGGCAGCATACAGGTAGTCCTCGTTTAGCTACTAGAGTTAAGACTGGCAGCTCAGTCATTAAAAATCGTGACTGTGCTAATGTTTTCACTTCAGCTTTCTTTTGCCTCACATACATACCTTCAATGATCAGAAATGCAAACATTAGTGATAGAGTTACTTTTTCATCATCATAATTGAACAGTTACTAAATGGGGCAGTCACTAAACAAAAACTTCTTGTAATTTCATTCAGATTATTACCTTATATTTTCTCCTGAACTGCTGTTGAATTCTCCCTTCCCTGTCAATTATATTTCATTGTAACTTGCTCAGCATAGGGGTTGATCTTCCTTACATTAATTCTGTAGTTTATAACATTTTGTATAGTACAATATAATCATGTTTCCTGAGGAATACATCTGCTAGATGTATCATCTCAGTTGTTCTGGACTAAAAAAAAATGCCTTTGAGTGTTTTAAAGCAGGGTTCTTATAAGTGGTCAGTATTGATTCCTAAGGCTCAGTGGAGCTATCCAAGGTGTTGATGTTGCTATTTGTACTCCTATTAGTTAAAATAGTGTTTAGTAAATCATTTACATATAGTGGGAGTCAATGAGCAACCTGAAACTTGATGAAGGGGCTGATGAGCTGAAGAGTTTAGGGATCCCTATTTATGGCCAGGGGAGGGAAGCTCCTTTTTCCTCATTGATTCCCTTTTGGGTGGCTGGTGTCATGATACTGCCAAATAGTCAAAGCTGACATTGTTGAACTTAACTTTCCCATTTTTGGAATGGGAGGTCAAATGGTAAAAAGGATGCCTTAAACCTCTGTGGTGGTTTTATTCCTAAAGTGAGGGGAAACAGTGAAAATTATCTGATTTGGGGGAAGTGTTTTGAGCGGTGCGTGTGTGCTGTAACCCCCTGCAAAGTTTAAGGCAATAACTTTGCTCTTTAAAACCCTACCAAAATAAGTGGTCTGGCTTCAGTATAAAGCTGAATTTATACCGATATACATCTTTAGATTTTAGAAATGGTTGATGAGATGCTTGGGGGTCTGCAAGCCACAGGTTACCTCTACCTGGTTTCAAGGTTAGCTGCTTGATGCAAAAGTGCTTCTCCATATCTGAGTTTTCTAAGTGTGCCATAGCTGCTACTCCCACAGGGAGCACCCGGGTGTCAATTATAATCCTACCTTTGTCAACAGGTCTCGTGGCAGTTCTGCCATTGGTGCACGTAAACAGAAAGAGCTTCCAACAGAGCCCCCCTTTACAGCATACGTTGGTAACCTCCCCTTCAACACAGTTCAAGGAGATATTGATGCCATCTTTGAGAAACTCAGTATAAGAAGTGTGCGACTAGTCAGAGACAAAGAGACAGATAAATTTAAAGGTAGGTGGTTTTATATCTCCCCTTTGTCATAAAGTTTGGGGGTTATGGTAGCTGTTTCTTTGTAGAGCAAAGGTGTGAAATTGAGTGTGCCTTTGTGTGCATGTATACATGTATTTGGTGTGAAGATCATTTTTTGCTTTTCTGTGGTAAGTCAGAAAACACATTCCAAGGAGTGGACAGTGGAAATCAAAATCTATAATGTAACTTCAATGTTTAGATATAGAAAATAAAACCATTCCCATGTATTTAATAACTTGCTCTTTTTATCAAATTAAAGAATACAATTGTCTGTATCTTGAAAGGGATTCTAGGGGCCACTACCATAGCATTAGAATTACGGCAGCTTTTGAGGTACTCATTTTAAATATTTAAAATTGTAATTAAATGATACAGATAAATGTACATTGTGATAGCTATATAACTTGAGTTGGACCATGGGGATGTGTGATCTATCAGCCAGCTTTTATAGGGGAAACCTTAATGCTGGAAGCATAGATTGTGATCTTTAGGGAGAGAACCTCGTGCAGCAGTTTAGCTCTTCCCAAAATAACCCATTGAAGATAAAGATGCTGATTGATCACAGAAAATGCCTGTTGCAGGAGTGAAGGAGAGAAGGGCTTGTGTAAAGTAAAGGTTTGACCAGCTGAAACCCTTAATAGGAATAAGCAACATAACAAAGTTTTCCTGTATATCCAACCATCTAAACTTGCTAATAAAAGGTTATGTATTTTGGTGAAGGTGTTGGACTAAGAGCAAGGAGACATGGGTTCTTTGTCTACCTATAGGCACAGAAGCTCACTGGGTGAACTTTAGGTCACTTAGATGTCGCTCAGCCCAACCTACGTCACAAGATTGTTGTGGGGACACATAAAACATCTTCAGGAAAATAAACAAGAGAACATAAACAGCCGAACAGTTTTACCCCAGGATACAAAAATTCCCTACTTTTAAACTTAACTGCAAATACACACAGGTTAAGTACTAGCTGCTTATCTCATTATGTAAGAAGTCTTAGCAAAGTGCTTCTTATCTTACCTGTAAGAAAAAATTATATAGGGAACAAATTTAAAGTATGCAAAAAAATTGATCTTAAAATCACTGTTTCAAATACAAAGCAGCTGTTTTAGTCTTAATAAATGTATCCTATCATTATTTCCTATGTTTACTGAAACCAAGCTTGAAACATTCCAAATATAAAATATTTTGTATCCCTCTAGAACAAATGTTTTTATGTTTCTTTTTCTATAATCTGTATTTCAAATCAGGAAGTTAAAATTGTTGGATGACAAAACTCAAGGAGCCAAATCAATTTTATGAGAATGGTAAGCCAATGATCATACGTGCATACCTAGTTTCCAGTACTGAAATGAGAGCGGTTTTCCTGATTTTAATTGTGTGTATATACACTGCTCAAAAAAATAACAGGAACACAAAAATAAGACATCCTAGATCTGAATGAATGAAATATTCTTATTAAATACTTCGTTCATTACATAGTTGAATGTGCTGACAACAAAATCACACAAAAATTATCAATGGAAATCAAATTTAGCAACCCATGGAGGTCTGGATTTGGAGTTACGCTCAAAATTAAAGTGCAAAAAAACACTACAGGCTGATCCAACTTTGATGTAATGTCATTAAAAGTCAAAATGAGGCTCAGTAGTGTGTGTGGCCTCCACGTGCCTGTATGACCTCCCTACAATGCCTGGGCATGCTCCTGATGAGGTGGCAGATGGTCTGCTGAGGGATGTCCTCCCACACTTGGACTAAAGCATCCCCCAACTCCTGGACAGTCAGTGGTGCAACGTGGCATTGGTGGATGGAGCGAGACATGATGTCCCAGATGTGCTCAATTGGATTCAGGTCTGGGGAACGGGCGGGCCAGTCCATAGCATCAATGCCTTCATCTTGCAGGAACTGCTGACACACTCCAGCCACATGAGGTCTAGCATTGTCTTGCATTAGGAGGAAGCCAGGGCCAACCGCACCAGCATATGGTCTCACAAGGGGTCTGAGGATCTCATCTCAGTACCTAATGGTAGTCAGGCTACCTCTGGTGAGCACACAGAGGGCTGTGCAGCCCCCTAAAGAAATGCCACCCCACACCATTACTGACCCACTACCAAACCAGTCATGCTGGAGGATGTTGCAGGCAGCAGAAAGTTTTCCATGGCATCTCCAGACCCTGTCACATGTGCTCAGTGTGAACCTGCTTTCATCTGTGAAGAGCACAGGGCGCCAGTGGTGAATTTGCCAATCTTGGTATTCTCTGGCAAATGCCAAACGTCCTGCACAGTGTTGGGCTGTAAGCACAACCCCCACCTGTGGTCGTCAGGCCCTCATACCACCCTCATGGAGTCTGTTTCTGACCATTTGAGCAGCCACATGCACATTTGTGGCCCGTTGGAGGTCATTTTGCAGGGCTCTAGCAGTGCTCCTCCTGTCCCTCCTTGCACAAAGGCGGAGATAGCGGTCCTGATGCTGGGTTGTTGCCCTCCTACGGCCTCCTCCATGTCTCCTGATGTTCTGGCCTGTCTCCTGGTAGCACCTCTATGCTCTGGACACAACGCTGACAGACACAACAAACCTTCTTGCCGCAGCTCGCATTGATGTGCCATCCTGGATGAGCTGCACTACCTGAGCCACTTGTGTGGGTTGTAGACTCCGTCTCATGCTACCACTAGATTGAAAGCACCGCCAGCATTCAAAAGTGACCAAACCATCAGCCAGAAAGCATAGGAACTAAAAAGTGGTCTGTGGTCACCACCTGCAGAACCACTCCTTTATTCGGGATGTCTTGCTACCTGCCTATGCTTTCCACCTATTGTCTATTCCATTTGCACAACAGCATGTGAACTTGATTGTCAATCAGTGTTGCTACCTAAGTGGACAATTTGATTTCACAGAAGTGTGATTGACTTGGAGTTACATTGTGTTGTTTAAGTGTTCCCTTTATTTTTTTGAGCAGTGTACATTTATTCATACCTGAGTCAATCTTCAAGTTCTGGTGACTGCCTGGAAAATGCCAAGGAGCTTTCTTGGCAACATTTCCAAAGTGGTTAATCATAGCCTTCTTTCTACACTGGGGAGTGACTGAGCCAAATTTACCTAGCTAGCTTTGTGCCTAAGATGAGACTACAACTCACAGTCTTACAGTTTCTAGCCGGGCACCTTAACCACACCAGACTGGCTCTCACATATATTTATATGTATTTGTTTATTTCATTTCAGGATTTTGTTATGTAGAGTTTGATGAGGTTGAGTCACTTAAAGAAGCTCTGACGTTTGATGGAGCAGTAAGTATAATCTTGTGAAATGTAGTTTGAACGGAGGTAGCCGCTCTTATCTGTAATCTGTTTGAGAAACAGTTTCTTTTTTTATTCAACCCAACAGCTTTTTGGTGAACGGTCGCTCCGAGTGGACATAGCTGAAGGCAGGAAACAAGACAAAGGTGGCTTCGGTTTCAGAAAAGGTGGCGGTCCAGATGACAGAGGTGACGTCCTGCATGGCTGTTCTTACGCACTGCAAATTGGAATGGTTGTATTAATGCCACCTTAAGCAGGCATGTCTTTGTGTGTGGCATTAAGTGTCAGCAGTGCAACACTGGCAATCTTCCGACATTATATGGAAGATATAAGTGCCTTCTAGTAGAATACAGGAAATGATCTAAAATGCAGCCTCAGAGCCGGGCAGATAATTTCATACCATTATGGAAATATTAGCAACTGGATGCCCTACAAAAAATTATAAAGAAGTTCACTGTTAGTTTTGATCCAGTAGTGATAAAGGAGACAAAGTTACAGAATGTGATAATGTGAAGCACTGTCAAATCACTGATAGAGTATGTTGTTCAACTCAGTCATCCTGGATTCAGATAATCCTTGGCCAAATCTCATTATGGGCATGGTTTTGCTGAGAACTGAAAGTAAATGTTGGGGTGTTTTTTTTCACAGAACCATTGTAAAACATAGCCATGTGACTGCAGGATGCTGCAAAACAGTCAGTGTGGCCTAGGTGCCAAGTGTGACCACATGGGAGGGGACAACCACCAGAACCTCGAATCTGGGTCACAAGTAGATCCCGCCCCCTCCATAGGTCTGTCATAACTTTAAAAGCTCACTAAGTGACCAGTCGTAAGTGGAAGACTACCGGTTTTAGTTTAATATACTTCAGTTACTAGCTAGACATTAGGAAGAAAAAATGTATATTGAATAGTGGGACAGCTTGTTGGAGGTTCTTAAGCAAAAGTGATCATTCCAGTAACAGAACTTTCCAAAACTGCGGAAAGTTCTTTTTCCTCCAGTGCATGCCTATTTGGATGCAAAATTCAGAGAAGAAACAAAATATCCCAAGTTTTACAGAACATTTCTGCTCTTGAAATTGTAGGTTTTTTGTACATGTGCAGACATTACCCTAGACACAATTAGTTTCCTAAGAAATTAGCAGGTAAATGATCTCTGAACCAATTTGAACTTCCTTGAACAATTGGCAAGCTGTTCCAAAATAGTTTGCTAATGCCCCTGTCTCTTTCGTTCCAAGGCAGATCGAGATCCCAGGCAGTATGTGCCCCCTGGAATCTAGCAAAGCTGCCAAAAAAAATTTTCTGCACCACTGTGAAGTGGGAAACATATAAACTGAGTGATGAGTTGACTCGAATTTCCAACTCTGTTATTTTGTTAATAATTCTAAAATAATTTAACCCAAGGGAGGTTTTTAGGGGAAAAAATAAATAAATTTCCCCTGAAAATCAAAGAGGATTGATCTTGCTTAAGCAAAACCATCTAAAGGTTTTCTTACCTTGTTCTAAAGAGCTGCAGTCCTACCCATCCAGATTCGGAAGACTCCATATATTAATCAAATCCATATGGGTTCTGCCAGATGGGAAAATATACAGGGTTGGGCTTTTCTAATAGGATTGCAAATCTGTTGTTTTGTGACTTAGAGAATGTAAATAAAACAATAAAAACTAACAAAAAGAATCAAATAATAAAGTACAATATAACAAAATCTGGGGAAAAAAATAACCCCCAACTCCCACCCCCCCGCCCTGACGACAGCAGTGCACACAAGCCAATTCATGGGCTCCAGACCGCTCTGGGTTCCCCAGGCCCTCTGGCAGAACCAGGTCTTCAGTGCCTTCCGGAAGAGTATTAGAGAGGAGGCCAGTCTAATCTCTGGGGGAATGATCTTCCCGAGAGAGGGAGCCACCACGGAGAAGGCCCTTCTTCTGGGTCCCACCAGGTATATCTCCCTCAGAGATGGGACCCACAGCATTCCCTGCCTCCCTGTTCTAATGAGTCAGGTAGATGTGACTGGCAAGAGACGTTCTCTCAGATAACCTGGTCCCAAGCCATGAAGGGCTTTAAAAGGTGACAATCAGCACCTTGAATTGCACCCGGAAGCAAATCGGCAACCAATGCAGCTCTCTCAGGAGAGGTGAAACATGTGCACACTGGGGTCTGCACAAAACCATGCAGGCCGCTGCATTTTTCACCAACTGGAGTGGCTGGATTTTCTTCAAGGGGAGCCCCATGTAGAATGCATTGCATTAATCAAGACAGGAAATGACTAGGGCAGTGATGGCAAATGTGCCCCGCCCCCTCTTGCACACGCAACCTTCCCCCCTTACCTGCACTGCGCATGTGCGTACCTCCCAGCTGATTTTCAGCCTGTTTGAGGCCTTTTTCGCCCTCCCAGGGGCTTGAGGGAAACCTCTGCAGCCTTTAAAGGCCAAAAAACGGGCCCTTTTCGGCACTTCAGGTATTTCTGAAAGGCCCGTTTTTCAGCCCCCAAAGGCTGCAGAGGCTTCCCTTAAGCCCCTGGGAGGGCGAAAAAGGCCTCAAACAGGCCGAAAATCAGCTGGGAGGCGCGCACATGCGCAGTGTAGGTAAGTTTGGCTGGGGCTCGCGTGCCTACACAAATTGCTCTGTGTGCCACCTGTGAGCTACTGTGAGTAGGGACTGATGGTCCAGGAAAGGGCATAACTGGCGCACAACCGGCAGTTGCGCAGAGGCCCTCCTGGCCACAACCATTAACATAATTAACTGACCATGTGTGTTTTGTAGATAAAGGCCTCACTTTCCATCTTCATAATGTAGCGTATTTAATGATTGTGTGTAAATGTTTGCAGCTTAACTCACAAATATGAGAGAAACTTTCTTTCAACTTTGATTTTCTGGGGATGCTGGCTCATGACACATTTTCTTAATTGAGGCTTGAATTATGCCTGGATATTGCCCCTTCTTTGACAACGGTTATCGATTTTCAGATATCAGTTCTACCTTTAATCTAGCCATATTCTCCTGCAGAGTACAGTTGCCGGATTTAAATGGATGCAAGGATTGCACTGATTTAAAATAGGGGGATTTCTGACCACTGAATATGGAAAATTCTAGATCTTCCCATCTTCCCCATTGACCCATGTGATTTTCTTTTTAGGCATGGGTGGAGGTCTACGGGAATCGAGAGGAGGAGGTGGATGGGATTCCAGAGATGACTTCAGTTCTGGTAGCAGTATTTCTCTCTTTTTTAAATATTTCTGATTTTTTTTTTCAAATCTCGACTTTTTTTCCTGTACCTTCTATTTGTTTCCAGATGTTAAGGCCATTATAGGGTGGAATTTAAAATATCACTTCCATTTTTTAAGAATATGGCAGTCATTTCTCTTGTATGTATTCAACTTTTGTGGAAACATTTGGTGTGTATAGCTGGGCACAGAGGTTTAGGCATATTGGAGTCCTTGAAGGCTAAGTATATGAATACACTAGGTTTGATGAATGTAAATATAGTTTCTTGTGTCTTAAATTGTTATCAAAAGAACACCTGGCTTGATTTGGATTGTAAAGCTCTAAATTATTCAATTTTACCATCAGCAGAACAGGTGGTTTATCTGCCTTCCATTCCTTTAGGATATGTCATCAGTTCCCAGTCCTGTGACTAAAATTCACCAAGACAGCTTCTTTGGCCACCCCCACCCACCCACCCCTTTTGAAAGCATGCTCACCACCTCATCCAACTGGTCTTCACTTATTTATTCAATTTCTATAGCTGCCCATCTCAGCCAAGTGACTCTGGCATACCATTTTTACAATTTTAATTAAACGAGGTAAGATCACTGTTTCTTTCCTCTGGCACTACGTATTGTCAACAGGGAAGGAAGGCCCATGCATCATAGATTTGTTTAAGTCTGATGTACAGAACTGCTTCAGCTGGGTGTGCTCCGTGAGCCAAACAGAAACGTCCTCAAGTGGGAGTTGTGTCCCTTTACTGCTCTTTATCACTATGTAAAAGGAATTTAGGAAATGTTTTCATATAATGCAAAGTCTAAATTGTTCCCATTTTATAGATGGGAATTTAAGGCTATAAGCCTCGTTCTTATGCTAACATGTTGTGTTTGTGGAGGAGGTTGGTAGGAATCTAGATAATAGGCTACACAGCAGAGCAATAAGAGGCTGAAAATGCAGCCTCTTATTGCTCTGCTGTACAGTACAGATTGTGTGTTCAGATGTTTAATTCTCTCCACCCTGATGAACTTAGTTTTTTGCCCTTCCCCATTTATTTTCTTTTTTTATCATCACTTACATTTATTCTAATTCTTCTTCGAGTCAGATTGAGATATTCAACATCAGTGTGTCAATGGTGGTAGTTTGCCCTTGCATCCTAATTAAGAGTTAGCTAGAATAGGGGCTGGCCACTAGTAGTTCACAGGGCATTTCTTCAGTTAAAAGTGCATCTAAACAATAGCACCAAGAAGTAGACTGTTACCAGAAAGGAAGCTTTACTTCGAAAAATTCAATCTTGAAATTTATCAGAAGGCAGGAATCCTAGTTCGATTGTTGCAGTCAGAAATCATAACCTTCAGTTAGTATTGCAGGTGCAAAGGGTGGACTTCTGATCCCCTTGCTATATTCAACCTCACAACATTTGAATTCCAAGCACATTCTTTCTTTTGTCAGGAAATCTAGTGGATCACTACTGATAATCATAAAAGCAAAACTAGTAATAAAATTGTATGGTACAACTAAGAAAAATAGCAACACTAATACATCCAGAACCATGTAATTGTACAATTGTCCTGGTGCCAGAAAAGTCACATCTCACAGCAAAAGATAAGCAGTGGTGAGACCTTATAGAACAAATAATGGAGGCACTGCCAGAAGTGGAAGAATGGGGGGTCGGGTGGGGGGAGATGTTCATACTCTGCTTGTATTATGGACATCCCCTCGCTGAACTGATAGAAATTTATACAGGCCTTGGTTCATTCTCTTTCACATGGGCTGTTAATAAATGTCTGGGTCTTAGGGAGTTAAAAACTAGCTGACTTTTAGAATGGATGTTTTGGATGGCCTGGAAAAATCCTTCATGAACAAGGTTTTGCCTGGGGCAGAGATATCAAGAGAGCTGATACTAAATGCTGTATTCTCTTCAATAGGTTTCAGAGATGATGACTTCCTAGGAGGCAGAGGTAGAACACGTCCTGGAGATCGACGAGGAGGTGCCCCGCCCATGGGGGGCACAGGTCGTTTCAGGGATGGTCCACCAATGCGTGGGTCTTCTATGGATTTCCGAGAGCCAACAGAAGGTAGGCTGTCTTCCTTTCTCCCCTGTCCCAGATAAAGAACCAACAGTTATTCAGATGTTGCTGAACTCTAAATTGTAACACCCCACTGGTGTCCCCCAGGTAATAGGGGCTAGTGGTACCAGATGCTCGGTTTTATAGTACATCTGGAACACCACAGGTTTCTTGACCTGTAGTATGGCAAAATGAGATAGCTGATTCTCAGGCCAGTTTTGTAGCCTACACTACTTAAGTGCTGTAATACAGTACAGGACTGTACATGAACTCCATTTTCAGTACTTAAAAGGAAGCCCAGTGTGAGTCCCACATCCAACTTCCATTACAGGTTTTAGATATTACAGGAGGATAGCTGTGGCAATCTTTGATAGCAAAAAGTCACAAGGAGCTGACTAGACTGAGAGAAATTTTCTGATATTGCCTGAGACCTTTTAATGTATGTTAGTTTAGTTCAGATCTCTAATGTGGTGAAGCTGTAGCTCACAAAAATTATGCCTTTTAATAAAATTTGTTAGTCAGAAAAGTTAATACGAGACTTCTTATGGTTTCCATTATAGATTTGTATACCTTGGGCCATGCTGTGTGACTTTTTTAATAGTTGACTCATGATAGAAGCCATAAGGGGATGGATGGGTAGGTGGATAGATCAGATTGAAAGATAGATAGATAGATAGATAGATAGATAGATAGATAGATGATAGATAGATAGATAGATAGATAGATAGATAGATAGACAGACAGACAGACAGACAGACAGACAGACAGACAGACAGACAGACAGACTTGGAAAATAGATAGACAGACAGACAAGATAAGATAAGATAAGAAGATAAGATTAGATAGATAGATTAGATCAGGGCTGATTAGACTCTGGGTCCATGGGCTGGATGCATCACGGGTTGGCCATGTCCATTCCTAGTTTAAGGAAGGCGGGGGGGGGAGTCCCGATACATTATGTGACGCCGTCGTGATGACAAGTTTTGACAACCCTGGATTAGATAGATTAGATCATTGATTTTTAACAACTTTAGGTACTGTCCATCTCATTCTCAGAGTGACTCTGATTACTATCCCTGGTTTCACTTTTTGTGCACCCTACATCTATTGTAGTAGATTGAGGGAAATTCTGGGGTCACTTCTGGTGATTTATAGAGGGAGGAACAAAGTCAATTCCCCTGTATTGCCTTCTCCCTTGAGCAGATCTGTCCTGTTGAAACTGCAGTAGTGCCCTCTAGTGATGCAAACATAGAACTGTCGTTCAGGGAGGGTTGTAACCCAACTAGTGCTGCCTTTCCCAGCCTGGAGTCCTCCAGATATTTTGGATCATTCTCAAGACCCTTGTTTTGGCTAAGAGCTCAGAGAATTTGTCCAGTACATCTGGAGGCCACCCTGTTGAGCAGTAATGCATGAGGGAGGTTTTCTTTAACCAGATGTCCTCCAGGCTGTGATGGGATGTAGTCTAAATACCTAGACAGCTACAAACTTAAGAGAGAGGAGAAGGGATTACATGGACAATTGTCACTGTGGATGACACCTTGTGCTTTCATACTGCTTTAGTTTGGAAAGTGGTTTGGTTTTAGGGTGGCAGCTATGTTCTTCCGATCCCATTGTAATGGGATAGGCAAACTGAGCCCAGTTGCATGAAATACCTTGCATGAGAGCCCTTCCAGAGATACAGGATAGCCATAATAAAGACTGTAGTTCATCCATAACTCAGGTTGAGAAAGTAGCCATATCACCTCTCAGCTTAATCTCCTCCTCTTCTTTTTCTTTTGGCAGAGGAAAGAGCCCAGAGGCCCAGACTTCAGCTCAAGCCCCGGACAGTTGCTACGCCCCTCAATCAAGTAGCCAATCCCAATTCTGCCATCTTTGGTGGAGCCAAGCCAAGGGAGGAAATAGTAAAGGAGCATGACTGAGGGCACTCGGGGCAAGAGTGGGGGAAACGGGATTGAGGGAGGGGCTGGGTGGGGGTGGGAGGAAACGCAAGACAGCCCAGAGTGTCTCACTGAGCTCAGAACATTAACCCCGCAGCCACCATTCCTACCATCTGACACTTGTCCTCCTTGAAACCGAAATGGAAAACAAAACAAAACAAACCAGAGCTTGTGAATGCATGTCAGCTGTTAACAAGTGGTTTTTAGCACATTTTTGGCTTCTCTGTATGTAGTGCCTGCATTCTCTTAAGTTCCCCAGCCCCAGACTTCCCTCGTTCCAGGCTCAGGGCTGGCTTCCAGCCAATAGAGCACCTCTTCCACAGTGGATTTCTTTAATCCAAGGTGCTGCTTCACCTTTTTCTTCGTTTCTGACTCTCTTCTTCCCAGACACCTGAGTCAGACTCCAGTTGTTCTCCTCTGCCTTCCACAGTGCTTCTTTGTCCGCGGCATGTTCAGCCATCCCCAGTGACCCTCAACTCAAAAGATCCTGCCCAAGTGAAAATGTTGCCAAAAAAAAAAAAAAAGCTCCTGCAACACAGAGTTAAGCCACTGGGCACTTTGGAATAGATCCAAAATCTGTTTCTTCCAGGATAGTTTAAAATGTAAACTGCAGTAAGAGCAAAGGATGCCCTCTGCTCTGGGCCCCACTGGCACCGCGCAGGGCTCTGCCTGGAGCAGAAGTTATATGTCTGCATTGGAGTCTGGCATGAAAAATGCAGTTGGATGCATTCTTGACTTGGCCTGTGTCATTCCCACTAGTGCTTAGAGGTTGGTGTGCTGTTGACATTTGTGCCAACTCTGTAGCACCCATGACTTCCTTCCAACATATTCTGTGTTTTGTTTTATTTTTTTCCACAGAATTGCTAATGGCTTTCTAACTAATTTCTTAAATAAAGTTTTTTCCCTCCCTTTGGGAGGTTGGAGGCGCTTTGTTTTGAATGAAATGGTGTCTTAACTTCGCCATGCCAGCATTTTGATTCTTTCAGTATGTTTTGTGCTTTTCCTCTTTAGCTTCTCCAATAAGCAGAGGGGAGAGCACCACATTATACAGTTTCAACTGGCATCTTAACAGCATGGAGGCCTAGCAAACTGAGCAGCTGACAAATGTTCATTCCCCTTGCGTCTCTTTGTGAATAAATTTTGCTGGAAAAAGCTGGATGCAGCAAGTAACCTAGAAGGAAAGAAGCACTAAATAGTGATGTAAACTTGAAGAGCAGTTTGTCGCCTGCTCAGCTGTTCAGTTTGTAAGATTCGTGGCTCAGCCTGGGCAGAGTGGGAATACCTGCGGTGCCTGACTTCAGTTCTAACATATCTTATTTGTAGCTTTGATACAAATAACAGGATAGAAACTGGCAGGTTTTCTCTTTTCTGGGGCTTCCCCTCCTTTTAAATGCTAAATCTTGTCCTATTTCTAAAAACAGGTCTTTCAATTTGCAAAATTAATTCGCAAACTTCCAAGAGCAGCTTTTATTTGGATATAAATAAAATTATTAGCAAAGGTCTTCATGATTTACAAAAGAGCAAATGTTTCTCTTCCTGACCTCCTTGTAATTTGAGCATATTTTTGAGAATAAGAACCATTTGTTTAACACTAACTTTCTTTAAGACATGCACTGTGTGGTTGTATTGTAAACCAAATCCACCCAATAATCTCTCTTCCGCTTTAAGTAAGGAAGAACCAAGATTTTAAGAGCAAAAAACAAGACTTCTCCATGCAAGGCTCACTCAGTCGATCCATTTGATTTTTAAATGTGTAAAGAGAAATTTCCAAACACTTAACACATTCTGCTTCATGACAAAGTAAATTTATGGATATGGTATTTTGTGAATGATCTTTTAAATAAAGAAAACATTAAGTAATATTTAAGGCTGGTCTGTGTTTAAGTTTGTTGGCAATTTTGGGACAGAAGAGCTGGCTTTTACCAACAGATTTCTTCAGTTTTCAGACTGGGGTAACGTGGAGTGGTTGGGAGGGTTGCATAAGGGTGACAGTTGTTCCATTGCTGGCTTCTGAGCTCAAGGTATTTTTGTGAAGTATTCACTCTTGCACCCCTTACCTGTGTATCTTTCTTGGTCCTCTATGTTACTTTTGTACATTGGGAAAGGAGCAAATTATTTTTATTCTGAGACTAATTCAAGGTTTTAAAGTAAAATCCGTTCAGAGAGAAAACAGGATTATGTTTTTATTTGGCTTTTTTTCCTGATATACATTTTCAGGGCAGTTGTTTGGATCCTATCAAACTGATGGCTATATCTGCTATGGTTCCACCATATACAGGTAGTCCTTGACTTACAACTACAATTGAGCCCAAAACTTCTGTTGCTCAGTGAGGCAGTTAAGTGAATTTTGCCCTGTTTTATGACCTTCTTGCTAGAGTTGTTAATTGAATCACTGCAGAATTTTGGCGCTTCCCCCCCCCCCCCCCCCCCCCCCCCCGAATTGACTTGCTTATCAGAAAGTCGCAAAAGGTGATCCCATGACCCTGGGGCACTGCAGTTTTCATAAATATGAACCAATTGCCAAGTGTCTGAATTCTGATCATGCAGTCATGGGGATGCTGCAATGGTTGTAAGTGTGTAAAATGGTCGTAAGTCCCTTTTATCAGTGCCATGGTAACTTCAAAGGTCATTAAATGAACTGTTGTAAGTTGAGGACTACTTGTATGCCCCCAGTTCTGAAAACAACAAATTATTACGGTGCCAGTCTGGATCGTGAAAGTTCAACCAAATACGATATGAAAGGGCGAGCTAAAAAATGCAAAACTGTCTTGTAATGAGCAACCCAGTTCTGTTGTCCATTCTGAACATACCAGTGCCCAATCGCCAGGCTTACAGGTGTATTCATACCTGCATAAGTGTTCTCCTTCAAGAAAAATTCGTAAGCACCACTGGCCAGAACAGCAGCCAGCCAGTCTACCTATTAAGGCTTGGATTAATTTGGACTTTTCAAGAAAACATTCCAGGATTTCTATTTCATCCAAGGCAGAAGGATAATCTCAACAGATGTTGATGGTTGGGGGATGGTTAAGGAGCAGATGTGGGCAGGAGAGAGACCATTATGCAGTGGTTAAATTCAGTATGGGGCAGTTCCTAATATGTAATTTTATATATTTTCCCTAACAACTTTTTCTGTAAGAAAAACACAAATTTTGTCATATTGATAGAAAAATATTAGTATGTAAAGTGTGAAAAATAGGTATCTGGAATATATTCTGATTAAGGAGGAAAATGGATGACAAGGTGAGCACGTGAATGATAGTGTCTATAAACAGATTAAGTACGTATTCTTGCACCAAACAAAGTCTTCTGATTTTTGTGAGAAATTTTAAGACTATTGTGAAAATCAGTTATTTTTTAAATATTAACCATTGCTGATGTCCAATTTGTTTTCATGTATTTTGTTTACAGATTGGCGGATTGTCTGATATAGAAGCATAATGGAGCATTACTGAAAAATGATGGCATATACAATGTAGATTTTATACTTTTCTGTTTGTGATGGCCGTGAGGCCCAGAAGGGCAGTACGGCTACATCTGATCACTTTCACCCATTTAGCACCTCCCAGGGAGCACATGTAGTTTAAGGGATGTTATGAACACGGGTGAATTTTGCTTACATATATGTTTGCTTTGTCATGTTCTCATCATATGCTAAATAAATATTACCGTGCAGAAGGATGAAATGTGTGCTTCCCCGTGAGTGACATTAGATCTTACTAAAAAGTTCCCAGACTAGAAACAGAAAGGAGGTAGAGATAGCATCTCAGCCTACCACAAGATAGGTTTCCTGAGTCAAACATAGTGACATCATCAGTTGTGGCTAATTATGGTCACCTATTTTCTTTTTACTGTGAACTGCATCTTCAGGACTACGAAGCTTTTCTGTTTAGTTCTTATGCCCAAAGTTTTTGTTCTGTGGCAGAAAATTAACAACTATCCTCCTCCTACTTTCTGTAATGTTTTTTGGGGCAATCCGTTTATTAGCGAGTTTATGTTTGGGTGTATTTTTCGTGAAACTTGGAAAAAAATGCAAATAAATACAAGAAGTCCTAAATCCTGAAGAATGCTTACCTTTTGACTCGGCCCTTCCTTTAGAACAGGGGTGTCAAACTCGATTTCATTGCCGCATCAGGGTTGGGTTTGACCTCGGGGGTGGGGGGAGGCAGGGTGGGTATGGCCAGCATGACATCATTTGTGTTGGGGGGGGGCACCTGTGGTGGCTTGAGCACTCTGCCAGCAAAACAGGCTCCCAAGCTCTGTTTTCGGCTGGGAAGGCCTCCTACAATCCTCTGCCAGCCAAAACGGAGCTCGAGGAACCGCATGCAGCCCTTGTGAGCTCTGTTTTTGCTGGCAGAGGCACCGTGAGCCAATCTGCTCTTTCTTGGACAGCCCCGCAGGCCATATCTAAGCACCTTGTTGCCCGCATTGGCCCATGGGCCTTGAGTTTTGGCACCCCTGCTTTAGAAGCTTAATGACCCACAATAGTTGCACATTACATTTATTAACACACCAACTTGATTCTTGCCCAATCACTTGGGCTTAGCTACCCAATCTCTGTGAGAATTGGTCAGGACAAGGTCATGTTCCTTTTTTCTTACCCTCTGCCTTGTGAGAAAATCCTCATCCAAACCGGAACCACAGACGTTGGGTTGAGTGAGTCACAGGTAACAGGAAGCTAGAGGCCAGCTCGCTGTTGCAGAGAGCAAGTAGCCACATGCAGCTGTGAATGTGAGACCGCTGAGTAAGAAATGGCCAGAGAGTAAAGGATTGGTAACTTCTGCGTCTTAGAAAACCTCTAAACTTTACAAGGTATGATATTCCAGCTTCTGTTGATTCTCCATTTTTTGCCTTCTGGATTTTATGCTAGCCCACTTCTTTCTGGCAGAATAGACTGTAACTCAGTTCAATTTCTCTCTAGATCACTCCTTTTTTTTTGTAAAAATTGAACAGGGAACAAAAGGGATCCCTCAAATTACAGACATAACAAACAAACAAAATCCCAGAAAATGTCATGACGCTTGGTATAGATTTATGTAACAATGTGGAACTCTTATTAAACTTACATGTTTTCATTTGGCTTAATTAAATGTAATCCGGCTGTTCTTACTTTTTCTAAGCAGATGGGCAAATTTCTTAAGAAAGTGATAGGCTACAATCTGCTTATTTGTATTTTCATTTTTAAATGGTAGAGGCCATTCCTTGCTTCTCAGTAGGCTCTCTTTCCATTTCTCGCATTAAAAATATCTTTAAGTCAACAAGTCAAGCAAGGGAAGAGAACCTCCGTGAGTACTAAAAGGATCTGATAACAGCTGTTCAGATTAACACTTTTTAGGCATCTGATGAAGAGAGCAGTGGCTCACAAGACCTTAATGCCTTTTAGTAACTTGTTAATCTGAAAAGCTACCCACGTTCCTGATTCTTGGCTGTCAGACTAACGCAGCTTTCTTACAATATGCAACAAAGAAGTAGGCAACTGGGCTTGAGCTGAAGCAAGATCTCTGAGTTGTAACCCTCTGCTATAGTGCCCTATTAAGATGGACCTGTGAAATGCATACATGCATTTGTGGTATTTTATGCTTGTGCAATTTGTCACAAGTTATTTACCTGAATGGTTGCAACTCTACAGTCTGTCTTGGTTGCTCCTTTGAAGACCAAACTTCTTTATCAACGAATAGTCCATAACAGTGCACAGTGATGCAAATTAGTGTGGGTAAAATCTTTATTTGCTCATTTTGTTTTAATCCGCAAACTCTCCAACTGCAAGGTGCTATATTCTATGAAGTTTTGTAACACTGCTATATATAACAGTATTTCCATTAGGAACAACTGATCGGTCACATTGGGAGCGAATTTTTTCCTCCTTAATATTATATCCTCTTTTTCAATTTTTGAGTAACTTGCCTTCTGTTTCCCCTGACTGCCTTGTTAGTTTTGCAGTCGGCACATGCTAACTCTGCCAAAAAGGCATCACACTTTAAAAAAAAATATTTTTAATGAGAAGCTGGTAGGATTGGTGGCTGTAGGAGAATTGACAATCAGATTAACAAAGTTGGAAGGGACTTTGTAGATCATCTAGTCCAACCCTCCGTCCAAGAAGAGGACCCTGCAATTCTTTTTTGAAGAAATCTGTTTTTTTCAGGAGTAGATCAACATGTCAGGGATCTTTCTGTACCTGAATTGTAGTTCTGCAAAGTAAGAAATTGCCAAAAATGGGTGATGGGACATCTTACTGATCTCTTGTTTTAAATTTTACATAGATGGTCTACTTGGACTTCTGGCCTGCCATCAAATAATTGGTATGTGCTCCACTTATGGCTATGATAGAGCTTCTTTCTAGCTCTCAATCACCAAAAATAAAACAATTTTAAAACCATAGCTCCATTAGCAGTGAAAATTAGTCGTGCTGCTATTTGTCAGCCTTTTTACTTTATTCTTGTTTTCATACCCATCACAATAAACAACTCTTGATAGCTGGTAGTGGCTGCATTTATTGGAAAATATTAAATTAGAGATGTAATATTTTGGTATATATATACAAACACATATGGTTGTAGACACCCATCCACACCAGGCTTTATATTAATTTTTCCAATAAAGTACGTGAATTTAATATAAAAAGTTCTGGTCTGTCAAAACTTGTTCATTGTTAATGGGAGACACAGATAGGATCTCTTGCGCTTCAGCTAAAAACCACTTGCTGGCAGGATGTCAAAAACGTCTCCCTTTCCTAGGCATCTCCACCATTCACATTAAGGCCTAAAATTATTATTTTGGAGATCTAGAACAGAAATTGGATTACAATTTTGGTTCTGAAGGAATAACAATTATCACCTGCTTTTTCTAATAATTTGTGAAACAAAACACTAGAGCAGTAAAACAGAATTGATACATGGTCTCCGTGGCAGTCACTGCATAAATTTTTGCATGCATCTTTGAGTCAGTATTGACTCCTGAAGATTGCTGGAGAAGGACTTGACAGGATTTTCGATTTATACAGTGCCCATCTCACTATCTGACTCTGGGCAATATACAGATAAAAGCCATAAATCTATATTTAAAAGATACAGTTAAAAAACAGAGTTAAAAAGGCAGAGGGAGTGCCCTCAACCTACCAATCATCTCCAAGGTTGCATATCATTCATGGATCCTGTGTGAAGCCAGGTCTTCATGCTCTTCTGGGAGGCCAGAAGAGTGGGGACCAGCCTCAATTCTAAAGGCAACACAGTGGTGGGATTCAGCCGGATTGCACCGGTTTGGGAGAACCGGTTGTTAAATTACTCACCCCCTGCTATCAAAGTGGATCCTGGTCATTGCGTTGTGCTGCAATGGAGAAACAGGCAAACAGAGCAGCCAACATGAGGGGAGGAAAAAGCTGCTTTCTTCTCCCTGCTCCTCCTTCCCTTGTACCGGCCGCTCTGTTTCCCGTTTCTCCATTGCAGTGCAGTGCCCAGAATCCATTTTGATAGCTGGGGCAGGGGGTAATTTAACAACTGGTTCACCCAGGGTCAGGTTGGCCATCGCAGGAGACTCATCCCACATGTGCAGTGGAGCTGGAGGACGAGGATGGGCCACGCGTCCCACAACAGCCACCCGACCCTGGGAGAACCGGTTGTTAAATTATTTGAATCCTACCTCTGGGACAACATGTATTAGGGCAGAGTTAATGGCAGAGAAAGCTCCCTTGTCCCTTGTCCTTGCTTCCTTCTTCCAAGGGCCAAGAGATGTCACTGGTCCAAAGTCATCCAGATGGTTATCAGGATTCCAGCAATCACTCTAATTATGATTATTGAGCCAAACTTCAAAAAACTTCAAAGGATTTATTAGAAGCGACATACTGGCACTGCCCTGAGTGAAGCCAACTCTGGCATATGTAATTTACAGTCACCTGTGACCCTGTTTCCCCCCTCCCCCCGGATGGTGTCATAAATCAGATTCTCCAATTGAGCACATTCGCAGACTGGATGTCATCATTCACATTCTCCAATTAAATATATTCGTGGGCAAAAGCTCTGGTATTTTAGTTACAATCTTTTAAAGATAAGAGTTGGAATGTACATTCTCTTTCAACCGCTCTTCCAGATTTTCTCCCCGCCCCCCTTTTATGGCAACTACTAAAACAGACACAGGAATGTTTTATGAGTTGACAATGGCTTTGTGCCTAGGACAGAACTAGAAATCATGAATTCCCAGTTTCTAGCTTGATGCTACACCTCGATCTTTTACATGCAAATAATTGAATACACCAACAATCAATGGCTTAGTTAATCAACAGCATCTTCTCACTTTATTCCGTGCTGGAATAGTTGTTTTCTCCATTCCTTTTTTCTCCTTTGAAATAGCACGTAGGACTTAGACTTATATACTGTTTCACAGTGCTTTCGGCCCTCTCTAAGTAGTTTACAGAATCAGCCTATTGTCCCCCAACAATCTGCGTCTTCATTTTACCCACCTCAGAAGGATGGAAGGCTGAGTCAACCTTGAGCTGGTGAGACTCGAACTGCCGAACTGCTGGCAGTCAATAAAATTAGCCTGCAATACTGCATTCTAACCACTGCACCACCACGGCTCTATAATCCATAATCCACTAAAGAGAGGTCTGTGAGAAAATCCCCAAACCTTTGAATAATTTTTAAGCCTATATTTAACTGCTTTTTAAAATGATCTTGCAAGAGAAAAATTGATCAATCTGATCATAATTTAAATACTGAACTTTACTTTGGATGGGCTGTGGGAATTTGGGGGACAGGTTTCCTTTGAATCATTGTTGACTCCTGGCAACTGCCTGGACAAATGTCTGCAGTTGCCCGCCTCCAAAAAACCACAATGATTGGGCTGGTTGTCTTTATTTGCAATGGGGAGGGTTTCTAGTTGCCCACCCTGATCATGAGTTGCACAATTTCCAGACCAAAGTCCCTAGATTTTCTTCTTCACGGGGTATGATTCTTTGTTTCCGACTCCCTTTGTTTCCCTTGAGATGCTGGGCAGAAGCTATGGATCATTTGTAAAGCATGAATGTTGACTGCAGAAGTTTCCATATCTAAATAGGGCTGAAAACCTCCTGCTTAAAACCTCTGAAAGTGTTGTCAGTCAGTGTCAATAATATCAAACTAAATCAACCTGGGCACCTTCTTAATGTGTAGACTTATTAAGAATCCTGGGAATTCACCCCAAATATTTGATGGGCTCCTAGGTAGAAAACTTGAGAATTGATAAACAAATTTAAAAATCCTGTTTTAGAGGCTCATTCTGTACCAAATTAAATAATTAGACTGGGATAAGTGGGAAGATGGGTTTTCTAAACGATTGGGACTGTCATCAATCTGAATGTATTCAATCCAGTTCACCTGTTCACTTTGGAAAACTGATTCAAATCAGCATTTATCAAAGATTTGCATGACCCTTCGCAACAGACTAACTTGATTGCTTCTTTCCCCAGCCTTCCAGAGCTATTGGATTTTCCCTCTCTAATTGTCCAGTTAATTTGGCTATTTTAATTTCCCACAATGTCCATAATAGCTTTAATTTGGCACTGAAGCATAATTTGTACTTCCATTATCCCAATTAGTTTTAATATTTACTATCATTACATAACTACAGTATCTCATAACATACATCCTTTAGCTTCACAAAACCAATATAACATTTAAGCACAATATAGAATAATATTTATTTAGTTCTTGCACTAATGCATACATTGCCCAATCAAAAATATTCCAAATGGTTTACAATAGAAAAGCAGAGATTTTAAACTTCTCTCAAATGAACTTGGGAAAGTAATACAAATGGAGAAGTAATCCCACTTCCCTCTTTTTTACCACCATAGCTTCTTAAACATGGACGTATAGTTGAGTTCAGTCACATCCTTTTTTCAGTTTCTACCATTATTGATCAAAAAGACTCTTCTGTCACTCTTCATAGAATGGAGTTTCTTCATAAACCAGGCAGCCAGAGGTCAAGCATTTGAGAATCACCTCATTCAATGTCCTTGTGGCCTCCGATAAGATGAATGGTGACAGTGCCTGCCCAATCACCCAAAAACTCAAAGGAACAATTATGCTGGGGAGAATATCCTAATGATTCCCATTCCTGCAGATGTCAAATATGCTGACCAGCAAGTGATCTGACCATGATAAAGGAGTGAACACAATGTCCATCTTCACATCACCTACCGTCTTCTCTCAGATAAAAGCCAGATCTGTGTGCCTTTATAGCAAGGGTACAATACTGCCTGAAACAAGTCCATGGAGGCCATAAAATCATGAACCTACCCGGATTCCATACCAAGGACATAGCCATTGAAATCTTCTAACACTAGAGGTTCAGCACCAGGCTATTTATAAGATCTAGAAACTCAAGTACAGCTGTTGCTGGGCTCCAATTTGACCTCTGGACCAATTTTATAAAGAAACCTCCTACCCAACATCTGGTCAAAGGCAAAGTTTGGAGAAAAAAAAACATAATCTCCTTTATCTACAGCAGGGATGTCAAACTCGCAGCCAGCAGGCTGGATGCGTCACGGGATGGGCCTGCGCCCGCCCAATTTAGCGAAGGGGAAAAAAGTCCCAATACGTCACATGACACCGCCGTGACGACATGAGTTCGACACCCCTGATCTACAGCAACCAGAGCTACAACTTCTCCTTCATCCTTCATGAATAAAACCTGAGGGGGTCAGAGAAAAGGGTTTCCCTCTTTAGGTTAGTCTATCTGAGTTTCAGATTGATATCATCAGGGAATGGGGGGTGGGGATAGCATATGCTCCATTTATTGTGGCCAAAAGATTCGAATGGAAAGCCTTAACAGCTTTCAGAGCAGTGGTGGGATTCAAACATTTTTACTACTGTTTCTGTGGGCATGGCTTGGTAGGAATGGCGTGGGTTGGTGGGCTTGGGTTGGTGGCCATGGGAGAGGAAGAACACTGTAAAATCTCCATTCCTTCCCCACTCCTGGGAGAAGGTTATTGCAAAATCCCATTCCCTCCCCACCCCACTAACCTGCTTTCTAGCTCTGTTCTCCTGTGCAGGGCAACAAAAGAAGACCCAGCTGATCAGCTGGGACTCGGGAGGCAGAGAATAGATGGGGGCGGGGCCAATCTGAGGTGGTATTTGCCGGTTCTCCGAACTACTCCAAATTTCCGCTACCAATTCTTCAGAACTGGTCAGAACCTGCTGAATACCACCTCTGTTTCAGAGGTCCTATATTACAGGTAGCCAGATGCTAAGTCTTCTTAGCTGAAGTTGGACTTTAGACAGCAGTTGGGTTTGTTGCTACTGTACCAGCCTCCCATTGTGCAGTGACACCTCTACTTGATTTTGTGGCAGGGTTGAGAGTGGAATCACCAACACTTATAATTCTTTGTGACTTCAGTCTGCCCCAGAAAACAGAGTCTGGTGCATCTGAGAAGTTCGTGGACACCGTGACAATCATAGACTTGATCCAAGTCATCCAAGACTTGATACATACTAAGATGAAACCTTAGATCTGGTTTTGGTGGGAGCAGTTGCAACATGTTCTGTAGAAGAACATTATCTTCAGTCCTTTGTTATGATCAGATCACTCTCTTGATCTGATTGCTTTCCATCTTGCCAATGCCCCATCCCCAAATCTATGCATGGCATTAAAGGTGACAACTAGCACTTTGAATTGCATCTGGAAGGAACCTGGGGGAAGGATATTCTATGTATAACCTGTTGAGCTCCAGAGGAAAGACAAGATATAAATCTAGCAATAAACATATAAGGAAAGAGGTAGAGTTACTCCCTCACCATATCTGCTGATTCTTCCCCTATTTTTAAATTAAGGCTCCTGTACTACAAAGTGATTAAAGATTGTGTTCCTTACCTTCCTTGTCTCATCTATGTTACTTTTGTCTTTTTAAGGCTGGAACTACAGTAACACCAAGCTATGGGTCAAGTGGAGCTGATTTGGGGTGCCTTCTCCTTGATGATTCTGGGGGCCCTTATCAGCATGTGCATGAAATGCCAACAGATTGGTAAGGTCTTCTTTGATTAGCTGAGATCTGAAACCCAGATAAAACATAATTCGATGCAGTGGTGGGATTCAAATTTTTTTTACTACTGGTTCTGTGGGCGTGGCTTGGTGGGCATGGCAGGGGAAGGATACTGTAAAATCTCCAGTCAGAGGTGGTATTTGCTGGTTCTCTGAACTACTCAAAAATTTCCGCTACCGGTTCTCCAGAACTGGTCAGAACCTGCTGAATACCACCTCTGATTCGATAGCTCAAATGCCATGTATTTGTTCATAAAAGTAAAGGAGTCCCTGCGAATTTTACTCCGCTAGTCATTGCCAACTATAGGGGGCGCTGCTCATCTCAGTTTCAAGGCCATTGAGCCAGTGCTGTCCAAAGACATTTCTACAATCATGTGGCCAACATGACGTTATGGAGCACTGTTACCTTCCCGCCATAGTGTTACCTATTTATCTATTTGTATTTGCATGCTTTCAAACTGCTAGATTGGCAGGAGCTGAGGGTGAGAATGGGAGCTCACCCTATCACATGGAGCTCAGGTCTCAAACATGGACTGCTGGCTTTCCAGCTGACAAGCCCATTGTCTTTAACTGCTGAGCCACCGCGCTGCCCAAATATTTGTTCATAGGGAATAATAATAATAATAAATTGCAACCAATCTCTTATACATAGTAGAGATCACAGTAATCTCATATGAAGACAAAGCAGTGGGTAAGAATTCAAATTTCTGTGCATATGTTCACAAAGCCGTGTTACAAAAGCACGGATGTTCAAGCAACGTTTCACCCATCTATAAAATGGTATGATAATCTTCTCCAGCTCCCAACTGTGTAAATATACTTGAATTGAATTACTCTTCCTTTTTCATATCCCCCTATTACTTTTTTTTAGTGGTTATTGCTGCTTTTTTCCCCTTATAATTACATTTAACTCTTAAAACTCTCTCCTGATTTTTCTTTTTCTCCATCTTCAGGGAGTAAACAGGAGAAGGCAAATGTGGACAACCAGAGAACTCAGTAAGTAGGAATCTTTTTCTGTGTCCTTCCTGGATTGCAGTCCCAATGGAATGAGATGAATCACAAAGCAGTTAGAGCTTTGGGGGTACTCAACACTTTAATATAGAATAGAATAGAATTCTTTATTGGCCAAGTGTGGTTGGACACACAAGGAATTTGTCTTGGTGCAAATGCTCTCAGTGTACATAAAAGAAAAGATACATTCATCAATAAGAGACCAATAAAACAACAACAGTGCAAACAATAAAAAAAACAGCCCATGAACACCAACCAGCCATCAGAAGACATGATCATAACTCCATCTCACAACATATGGAGAGACTCAACCAGAAGTTCTATTGGGAAACTATTGGCATCTTAGACGTAGCCAGATACAAAAGTACACATCCTCAACTTATATCCATTCACTTAGTCAAGTTACAACGGTATTGAAAAAAGTAGCTTATGACTGTTTTTACACTTATGACTGCTGCATTATCCCATGGTCACGTGATCAAAGTTTGGATGCTTGGCAAATGGCATGTATTTATGAGAGTTGCAGCGTCCAGGGATCATGCGATCACCTTCTGACAAGCCAAGTCAATGGGAAATCCAGACCCACTTAACAACTATGTTGCTAATTTAACAGTGATTCACTTAACAACTGTGGCAAGAATGGTTATAAAATGGGATAAAACTAATTTAACAACTGTCTTGCTTAGCAACATAAATTCTGATTGTACAGTAAGTTGAGGACTAGCTGTACTGGAAAACTCCTGGAGGTTTGCCATTCGGACAAATCAGCTATCAGTGGCCACACAGAAAGAAAAAAAAACACATTTACACACCATTCAAAAGAGACAACCAAAAAACCAGGAAGGAAGCAAAAAGATTAGAACATCTCTCTTCGCTAAGCAGGGATTAATACCAGAGAAACAGGCAGAAAACAAGATGATGAATGAACCATCAAGGAGGAAACCATACTCTCACCTAAATGGCAGGATAAACTACTGGATATAAAGAAACCCACCACTCACTTACACTGATGATGTTACCTAGTTAGGTACTGAGATGTCTTCAAGCAAACAAATTCAGCAAACACTAAGAACTCCATTATTCTATATCTTTTGCTGATGGTATATGGCCCAAGTGCAGGAGGTCAAATTTTACAGCTACAGTTAGAAGATTAGAAAGGTTCTAAAAACATGGAGAGCCACAATATGAGTATCTGATCTATAGAAATTTAAAAAAAACCTTATCTGATTTAAGGCTACTATCTCTGAACTGGAGGTGAGCAACTTGTAGCACCTCAATCTAATTTCAAATACTCCAAGTGAGTAGGGAAAGGGAAAAGAGGGTGTTGCAAAGAGGAGTGGTCAGACCCAAATGCACCGAGTTATCCTGCTTATGTCACAGTAGACTTTATAGTCTGCCTTCCCTCAAATTTAGCATCAATTGTCCCATCTGTTTTCCTGTTAGAACTTTTAAATTCTTTTGCATTTGACCAAGCTTGGTTGGTAACCCAATCCGAAGAGTTCCAAAGGTGCTTTTTCAACAGGAAACTGGACTTTACTTGTTTTTTCTTGAAGATATTTCCTTTCTCATCCAAGAAGCTTCTTCAGTTCTGTGAAGCAAAATGTCATCAAGGAAAAATAAAGTCCAGCTGCCATTTGAAAAAGCACCTTTGAGACAACCATGACCTGGATAACTGAGAATCTCCATAGACACTGATCCAAAGATCCAAAGATCTAACCTGGGACTTCTCCACTGGAAAATGGAAATGGTAAACATCAACAGCCCCTGTGTGCAGCTGAAAACCACAACTCTTTTTATCTTACAATTTACTAGCGCTCATCATTCCCATGGCATATTTTGAACAAAAAGAATCTTCCTTGGCATTTCTGCTGCATTGTAAGTTAATCCCTCTTCAGTTTGTCTTAGCTGTTAAATAATAAACTTACTCTGGACTTTGGGGGACATGAGAAACCCTGGAAGTCTGAACAGAAAACACTAAAAGAGGCAGTTGCTAAACAAGGACTACTTGTAAGAGACAGTAAATGCTCAATTCATTGCTAGGAACGATAAGATCCTCATGACGTAGGATTCAATGGGATGTTATCCTCCCAGGTTCTCTTTATAGGCAACCTCACAAAAATAGTATTGCTAAATTCCTTTTTTATTAAGACTTTCTTACTTTTTTTGATTCCAAGACATTCAAAATATTTTCCCTGATTTTTTTTTTCCAGGTGTGAAAACCAACAGGATTGTGAACGTTCCTATTTAAGTAAGTGTCTATGATCTTTTCTCTCCTCCACCCCATCTTAGAGGAGGCGAGTAAGTATGCTCTCAGCCGCAGTTTTATTTTGCAAATAGCGGAAGAAGCTTTGTGGTCAAGTAGAAAATGGAGTTGTGGCTAGAAAGTAATGCACAGCCCAGCCATCAGTGGAAGTCAAGCCTGGAAATAACCGTGAAGGCCTGATCTGAGGAACCAGTTACAAGCAGAAAGAACCAGCTGGAATTCCATGAATCTTTGATCCCTCTCTGTATTAGGGATCTATTGGATCAAGCCAGAGACTGAGAAAGACACATAGTATGCAGACGGGATCTTGGTGGAAGGGAGGAAGGTTTGTATCTGTCACAATAGGGGTGTCAAACTCAAGGCCCGGGGGCCCATAGGGTGCTTATAACTAGCCCGTGGGCCACTCTGGAAACAGGGAAGGACTGGCCTGTGGTGCCTTTGCCAGCAAAATGGACCCTGTTTTTGGCCATGACAGCTCCCTGCAGCCCCCTGCCAGCTCCATTTTCGCTGGTAGAGGGCTAGCAAAACAAACTAAAAACAAAACAAAAGGAGAAATGTTTTCCCTTTTGCATTTGAGCATGCAAGAAGGGACAGGAAATGAGAAGAGGAAAGAGGAAGGGCAAAGAAAAAGAAGGAAAGATGAGAAGAGAGCAAGGAAGGAAAAAAGAAGAAAAGATGGGATGGAAGAAGGAAGGAAGGAAGGAAGGAAGGAAGGAAGGAAGGAAGGAAGGAAGGAAGGAAGATTATAATGAGAGGGAGGGAGGGTCTGAGGGAAGTCCTGCCTTAGCCCTTGGCTACCACAGGTGCCCCCGACACAAGTGATGTCGAGTTGGCCACATCCACCCTGGCCATGCCCCCACCCCCAAGGTTAAACCACAACCCTGATGCAGCTTCAATGAAATCAACTTTGACACCCCTGTGTAACAGATATGACTTGGTTCTGCATCAAGCATGTACCCAGACCAATACTGTACTGAAGTGAACCAATCTTTTTGGATTATAATTTGCCTCATTTCTCTTATAGCAGAAGCTGAACAGTTGGAATTTAAAATCTACTTCCTGGACTAAAATATTCACAAAAATATTTCTTTTCTCAGGTTCCATGTCAAAACAGTCACAGATGAAAGAGACATTCCATACATCAGAACAAAGGTAACTTGGGCAATGGCCACGGAATATTTTGGTGCTCTCAAATTTATAGAAGTCAAATATTCTGCAGTTCATCGAATATAATTGTAGGGTCCAAATTTGAGGAGAAGGGGTTTGATTATTTTGGGAGGTGAGGGTCCTACTTCTTGGTTAAACATCCAGAGCAGTTAGCAAATAATAATAATTATCAGTGAGAGCAGAATCAATAAAACTGAATTGGGAAAAATAATAAAATATTGAAATAAAAATAGAATATAGAAAAGATTTTACAAAGTCATTGCTATAAATATAGCTGCTCTAAGGAGAAAAACATGTGAATTTTTACAATAATGATATTGTGGCTATAACAAATGTAAATTTGCGGGGAAAAAATAATAACCCTTGCTGGGCCTATGTTGTATCTTAAGATGTTATTTGGATAATTGATAGGTTCCTAGCTGGACCTTGGATTTCCAAAGAGTATCAGTCAAATATGTGATTCTTTTTGCTTCTTTTTTGCACTGTGTTAGACAGAGATAGAAATAAAATGCTAAAGCAGAGATAGAGTATTTCTAGCAGCTAGACTACATTTTCCTTTTTTGATGTGTGAGCAGCCAAAGACTGAAAATCCAACCCTCACATAGATACTGGATGCAAATGTGATCCAATAGAACTAGAGAGAATGTGTTCCTTCTCTTGACTGGGTCATCCATAAGAGTGATCAATGTATTTTCCTTCTTATACCCTGATTTGAACCCAGATTAAAAGAGGTGAACGACTGCTTCATTCAGAATCTTCTATAAGTGCCATTCTACCACTTCAACCCACAAATAGGGGGTTGGTTCTTTACCTCCTGATAAGTCTCTAGATAAAGTTTGGCAGATCTTGCCTACTGCTTTTTTAAAAACTTCTGTTGAGCAACAGTCATGGTTTCATTTCTAAATCTATCTTCCTTTTTAGCAAAAGCAGAAAACTCCCCAGCTTTAATGACTTTGGTATGTATAGTTCTGACCATTTCTTGATTAAAGGAGCTGTGGTGGCAAAGTGGTGAGAATGCAGTACTGCAAGCTAATTCACTGCTCACTGCCAGCAGTTCAATCCGATCCTGACCAGCTCAGGGTTGACTCAGCCTTCCATCTTTCCAAGGTGGGTAAAATGAGGACCCCAATTGTTGTGGGCAAGATGCTGACTCTGTAAACCACTAAGAGGGGACTATAAAGCATTGTCATGCCCCTAGTGGAGGAACAGCCAACAGGGAGTGGGAGTGTGGCTCCAGAGGTGGTGGAGGAGGCTGGGGAAGGGCAGAGCCCGGCTGAGCAATCAGAGGAGGATCCAGGCCCACCCCCTATCCATCCTAGGTCACTCAGGGAGGAGAGGATCAGTAAAAAGCGAGGTCTACTCAGGAGGAGATTACCATGATCCTCCTCGTGGGTTGCAGTTGGGAGCTATGAATATAAGTTTCTAAGTGCACAATCAGAATTGCTGGAGTCAAAGTTTAGTGTTTTCTTTGAAAGAGGTTTATCTTTGCTGGCGTTCTTCCAATGGACTCTCCTCAGTTATCTTCCTGGAATGTATGATTAATTATCTTGGTTTGCTTCGGAACTCTCATCAATATGGTTTGTTTTGGTTTTCTTTTTGCCTCATTATTTACTTTTGTGAATAATATTATTTAATAATATTTACTTTAAACTGTGCCTAATAAAACAGTGAAGTTAAGTTGAAGGCATTACTGGACTTTAATGTATGTTTTGGGTTTGGGGTTATTTTGAGAAACTACGGGTCATCACAAGCACTGTAAAGCAGTATATAAGTCTAAGTGCTATTGCTATCATGATATTATGCAAATGATGCCAATTGTGTAATTTGCACTGTGTGTGATGATGGCATGGTGCTTGCTCCTACTGCTTCTTCCATTTATGATATCCATGGATGCAGCAGTTCCAATTTTATCTTTTGTAAAATAGATATTTTTCGTACAGAGTATATAAAGAATGCAGACCTGACTCAACTTTTGGACTTTAGCAATAGCACTTAGATTTATATACCACTTCCTGGAGCTTTACAGCCCTTTCTTAAGTGGTTTACAGAGTCAGCCTATTGCCCCCAACAATCTGGGTCCTCATTTTACCCACCAGTCAACCTTGAGCTGGTGAGACTTGAACTGCCAAATTGCAGTCATCCGGCAGTCAGCAGAGGTAGCCTGCAGTACTGCACCCTAACCATTGTGCCACCTGATGCACCTGATGTCCTTGTGATTTTTTCCCCAAAATGCTTATAGTTGAACCATGGACTTTGGAGCTATCTAAGTCTCACTGCTTATATTATCATTCATTTCTCCCTACCTTACCTCTGTACTGTCATTTTTTTCTAACTTTCCTTTCTCTTTTTCCTCTGGGCATTCCAACAAAGCACTTGTTTTTAAAAAATCAGCCACTTTCTTCTTCATATTTATGACCTGGAAGCATTTTCATGAATAAACATCAAAGGTGTCAGGGTATGGTTAAAAAATAAATAAAGTTCGTGGCTGGGATGGTGAAATTGAAGTTCTACCTGGTTTTTATTTTAGTTGTGTGAATTCTGAGGCAAACCATTTTTTGCAACATGCCAGGTTCCCCTAATCATATATTTTTACATATATACAGCTGCCAAGTGTCTAATTGATTGCAGTATAGTATAAATAATACACACATACGCCCACATACAAACCCATTTGTATGCATAAAAATATTGAAAATCAAATAGGAAAAATAGCATCAAGCAGTGCCAACTGCAGTTTGTAGATCCCAGATTTGGGATCCCATCTTTACTGTATTTAGGGAGAGAAGGAACTTTTATATTATTCACATATAAAGCAGATCTTCCACTGCCTCTATATTTATTATCAAAGAAGGAATTAGTATCAGAAGTAACTTCCTAGGAAAATGGCCTTTGCAAATGTGGTGGAAGGTAGTCTGGATTTCCAGGAGAGAGGGGCTACATTCCAGAGGACCAAGAGACAGAGAAGTTTAGATAGTTTGATAGGGAGAAAGAAGTGAAAACTGCTCCTCCCTAGAAATTCTCACAGTATATTTTTAATGATGCAAGTAATTGTTTTAGTTCGGCAAGATTTCTCTCTATATAGGTGAGGAAACTGCTTAGAAGTAAATCTATGAGCCATGACGGTGCAGTGGTTAGAATGTAGTACTGCAGGCTAATTCTGCTGCCTGCTGCCTGCCAGCAATTTGGCAGTTTGATTCTCACCAGTTCAAGGTTGACTTAAGCTTCCAACCTTCTGAGGTGGGTAAAATGAGAAGCCAGATTGATGGCGGCAATAGGCTCACTCTGTAAACTGCTTAGAGAGGGCTATAAAGCACTATGAAGCAGTATATAAGTCTAAGTACTATTGCTATTGCTGTATGGTTTTCTTGGTTATTGGAGCTGAACAGCAATATTTCAAAGATTAAGCAGTAAAGGGTAGAAACTTCTGCTGTAGGTTTACAGGAGCAGTTTATCACTCTAGCAAAGAAATTTTGGATTCAGCCTCCGTTATATTTTTCATGATGCCATCAAAAACTTACCCCCAATCACAGATAATTAATGGTCTCTACTTTTCATTTTTCAGAAACCTGCAACAAGTCCAGATTTCAAAATGTAAAAACAGGTAAGAGTCCAACTTCTGGGCAAACAAATCAAGAATGACTGAGTAATCACTTAAGTATAGAAATATCTTTGACATGGGAGCCCAGCATAGCTGAGCATTTGCTTCAGTATATTTCTACTTTGATTGTTTAACTTGGGCACATCATGAAGGCAAAGTTTCACTTATGTCCAACATCGTATATTTCTCCCAAAGCCTTCTAGGTGAATTCTAGCAATTCTTCCTTACCAGAAAAGCATCATTACTCTTTGTTTTGTATCTAGAATATTACATCCGTCTCTAGGTACTGCATAGTCAAGACCTTCTTGATGATCCAAACTCTGTCAAGGATCTTGGAGTACTCATCTCTAATGACCTAAGTGCTAGAGCCCACTGTAACTACATAGCCAAAAAGGCATTAAGAGTTGATAACCTAATCTTACGTAGCTTTTTCTCTGGTAATATTACACTACTAACTAGAGCATACAAAACATTTGCTAGACCAATACTCAAATATGGCTCATCAGTCTGGAACTCACATTACTTATCTGATATTAACATAGTTGAGAAAGTCGAGAAATATTTCACAAGAAGAGTTCTCCACTCCTCTACTCATTGCAGAATACCTTATGGCACCAGACTTGAAATTCTAGACCTAGAAAATCTAGAACTATGCTGCCTTCAGTCCAATATAAGTATAGTATATAAAATCATACATTGCAATGTCCTACCTGTCAATGAATACGTCAGCTTCAACCATAACAACACAAGAGCACACAATAGATACAAACTCAAGGTTAACTGCACCAAACTTCATTGTAGGAAATACGACTTCAGCAACAGGGTGGTCAATGTCTGGAATACTCTACCTGACTCTGCGGTTTCTTCCCCAAACCCCCAAAACTTTAACCTTAGACTGTCTATTATTGACCTCACCCCTTTCCTAAGAGGTCTGTAGGGGGCGTGCATAAGTGCACCAACATGTCTACCATCCCTGTCCTATTGTTTCTTTTTATTTTTTAAAAACTTTTCTTATATGTATCCATGTATTCATAACTATATTTTTACTTATACCTATTATCTTGTAAGCAATTGACAAACCAAATAAAATAAAAAAATAAAATAAAAATAAAAAATTTTTTTTAGGAAGGACAATGACAAACTGGAGCCTGTCTGGAACAAAGCAGCGTAGATGATAAAGTATCGGAAATCAAAACTCTTTTTTTGTAACAAAGCAATATTTTTTTTAAAAAAAACCCTATAAAAATTAAAATTACAAACTAAGTCAGAAAATAAAATAAAATCTATCTTGTCTTTTATCCTTCTCAGCAGTCATTGGTTCACCAATGAACTCACTGCAGTGCCAGAATATAAACAATACAAGATATTATTGCAATATATCATAGATTCTCTGCCGTAATAATACATATTGTTGTTAATTCTGAAAGGAAAAACCTTATGAGGAAAGTTTGGAGTGGTTAGATATTTTTAGTGGAAGGAGAAATCTGTAGGGAGACATGGCATTACTTATCAAGTATCTGAAGGGCTGTCATGTAGAAGACACGCTGAGGGTTAGCAGGGGCCCCTAGCTAACATTCTGTGCAGTTCGGAGAACCCCCAAATCCAGGGGTGGGATTCAAATTTTTTAACAACTGGTTCTGTGGGCGTGGCTTAGGTGGTGGGCATGGTTTGGTGGTCATGTTATTGGCTGGGTGTGGCCAACTCAACATCACTCACATTGAGGCACGCATCTCCTTGCCTGGCCTCTCGTGACTGTGGGGATGCTGCAAGAGTCGTAAGTGTGAAGAAGGGTCGTAAGTCACTTTTTTCAGTGCCATTGTAACTTTGAATGGTCACTCCACAGGAGCAAAGTACCAGCAAAGGAGGGAAAAAAACTCCAGAGACATTCCTGAGGCAGGAAATCTAGTCCTGCCAAGAATGTAATAAGGGTCAATGGAGAGGCAGTTTCTGTAAGCAACACCAGAATGTTTCCTTCCTGCCTTCCTTACAGGATTAGGCCAGTAGTTTCTTCTAACAACCGGTTCTCTGAACTGCTTAGAATGTTAACAACCGGTTCTAGCGAATAGGTGCAAACTGGTAGAATCCCACCCCTGCCCAAATCCCAATCCTGGCTGGCCCTGCACATCCCGCCCCGCCAGGAGTCCCCATGTAGCCTGTTTTGGATGCAGGTAAGTGCAGGGCGTGTGCAGAGACTCGGGGAGGGTGAAAAACAGGCCTCATGGAAGTTCAGGAGAGCCGGAAATGGGCCTGTTTCTGGCTTCCAGAGAGCCTCCGGAGCCCAGGGAGGTTGTTTTTGCCCTCCCAGAGGCTTGAGGAAAACCTCTGGAGCCTGGGGAGGGAACCCCGCCCCGAGTCATGGTGCAGGAAGCCGACTAGGCCATGCCCACTATGGCCACGCCCACCCAACAACCGGGCAGAGAACCCTTTGCTAAAATTTTGGAAGCCCACTTCTGAAGACAAAGCAATTCGTTCAGGAAATAATAGGTTTCAATTACAAAATAGATTTATTTTGGGTACCAGGGAAATATCCTAGCAAAACAAGAGCCATGCAACAACCTGCAATATGAGGTAATGGACTCTCTTTGACCATTGGAGATGTTTAAACAGAGGTTGAAGGTGCTGTTGTAATTGATTGCTGAACTGAGGAACCCTTGGGGCTCTCTGAGCGTGGTTGTTTGCTTACAGACATTTCATTACCTGATTGGGTAACATCATCAGTGTGAATGGTGTGGGGTTTGCTCCCACACCATTATTTATAAACAATTTTATTTTATATATTTAAAACTGCTTACCTTGCCAGTATTGGTGGTGGCATGGTTTTCTCCTTGATAGTTCCTTGATTATTAACACTTAGCAATAGCGCTTAGACTTATATACAGCTTCACAGTGCTTTACAGCCCTAAGCAGTTTATGGAGTCAGCATATTGCCCCCAACAATCTGGCTCCTCATTTTACCCACCTCGGAAAGATGGAAGGCTGGGTCAACCTTGAGCCTGGTGAGATTTGAACTGCCAAATTTCAGGCGGCTGGCAATCAGCAGAAGTAGCCTGCAGTACTGCACTCTAACCACTGTGCCACCGTAGCTCATTGTATTGTTTTCTGCTTAATTATTTGTCTGGTGAGTCCTAATCAATCATGAGGTCATTAAGTGAATCTGACTCCCCCATCTACTTTGCGTGTTGGAAGCCAGCTGGGAAGGTCACAAGTAATGATCACATGACACAGGGACTCTGCAACTGTTTGTAAGTGCATGTTGGTTGCCAAGCAGCCAAATTTTGATCATGTGACCATGGGGTGGCTACAACAGTTGTAAATGTGAGGACCAGTGATAACACAATTTTTTTCAGTGCTGTTGTAACTTCAAACGGCCACTAAAGAAATGGCTGTAAGTCGAAGACTACGGTTGTAGTTAGCCAGCAGCAGGTGTGGATGGCTGAGGAGAGCGAGGACTCAGATGAGGGACCAGGACCATTAGGGAGTGGACTGCTGCCTTCAGAGATTATGGGGGCAGCAGCGATGAGGAGGTTCCCGAGGAGCCTGTGCCAAGTGCGCGTGCATGCAGGATTGCTCACAGGAAAGAGCAGCTGCAGCAGCACAGGCGACTCAGGAGTAAGGCTGCAAGGTAATGGCCCCGCCTTCAAGAAAATAAAAGCCAGCTGTGAATTGGACGTTCTTTGTAGGAAGCAAAGATGTTTTGAAACTCTAGCCTCATGGACATTGGAGTATCTTAGTTAGTATTTGAAGACTTTTGTGTTGTAAAATATTTCTAGGTAAGCTTACCTGTCATTCTTGGCAGCCTCGCACAGTTTTGGTGAGAGTTGTGCTTATCAAAGTTAACTAGTTTGCAGCAGCCTTTTAATCGGGGATTCGTAAGAATCATTAAAAGGTTTCTGTTCCCTTTGGTTTGTGTTTGTTTTATTGGGAAAGGGTTTGGGTCAGAACAGTTACCAATATAAGGAAGCAAATCCCATACTCCCTGGCACTGATGAGGTTACTTAGTCAGGTAATGAAATATCTGCAATAAGTAAATATCTTTAGAATAGAATACTTTATTGGCCAAGTGTGATTGGACACAGAAGGAATTTGTCTTGGTGTAAGTACTCTCAGTATATATAAAAGAAAAGATATATTCGTCAAGAGCTGAGAATCATAAGGTACGACACTTAATGATAGTCATAGGGTACAATAAGCAATCTTACTTACTTTCTAAGCAAGTTTACTATCTAAGCAAGTAAACTAAGCTCAGAGAGTAGACCTCCATCGTTCAGTCTTGAGCTACAGATATATTCTTCCACTGATTTCTGCACTGGCAGAGGTTTGGACTATTGTAGAAGATTTTAAATGTGTAGCTTTCTGTTTTTATATTTTACTGGCTGATGGATTGTTTTAAAAAATGTCTGGTACTGAAGTCTCTCTGGCTTGCTTAAATTGGGATCTTCTACAGGTAATCCTCGATTTACTGACCACAACTGAGCCCCAAATGTCTGTTGTTAAGTGAGACATTTGTTCAGTGAGTTTTGCCCCATCTTTCTTACCTCAGTTGTTAAGTGAAACACTGCAATTGCTAAGTTAGTATCCCGGTTGTTAAGTCAATCTGGCTTACCCATTAACCTTGCTTGTCAAAAGGTTGCAAAAGGTGATCACACAACCTGGGACACAACAATGGTCATAAATATGAACCAGTTGCCAAGCATTTGAATTTTGATCACATGATCATAGGGAGGCTGCAAAGGTAGTTACTGTGAAAAACAATCATAAGTCACATTTTTCAGTGCTGTTTGAATGGTCACTAAATGAACTGTTGTAAATTGAGGACTACCTGTAATCCATTTTCAGCCACTTGGATGTTCAGATTTAGCTTGTACACCACAAGCAACTTATCTACCTGATCTGGGTATTAATCCACACACTGTCTTTTCAGAGATTCAAACAGAGGACGACCCTACTTATGTGTAAGTTTTCTATCAATATAATCTTTGGTGTCTTTAGTTAGAATCTTCGCCATTTTAAGCATAAAGATAAATTTATTTTTACTGGTGACCACTGTACCATTATAGGTACAAAGGCAGTGGTCCAAAAACAGTGGTCCATCTTCATACAGTCATTTATGTAAAGAATTAACAAGCCCATATATTACTGTAAAAGAGTCTTTAACAAACTTGAAGTTAAGGTCAGGTTCAATTTAATGGTGAGAGAATGTCAAAATCACAGGGAAGTTGTACAAAAATCCCCTAAACCCAGTTTTTCCTTCTGTAAGTAGCCTTTGCTAGAAATCTCAATGGCTACACTGGTTGCAAATTCTAATTTCATAATCCAATGTATCTGGAAGGCTCTGCTACATCAAGCTGCATCGTATTCCTACTTAACTTGAAATAATCATTTTTAAATAAGGTCACTATTGTCTTTTTTTCTTCCTATCCCCTTTTTGTTTTGTTGTATTGTTAGAGTGGTTACTCTCATTGTAGAGCCTCAAAAAATCCTCGCTCAGAATTCTTGTAAGAAATATTAGGAAAGAGAATCACTAAATTTAATCATCTCCTAAGCTTTCTGAGTCTCTCATAGAACCACAAAGCATCCTTTTCTAGCCAGACATCCTCCTTCCTTCTCTCTCTCTCTCTCTCTCCTTCCCTCCCTCCCTCCCCCACCCCTCTGTGTGTGTGTGTGTGTGTGTGTGTGTGTGTTTCAGCTTCAGCTTCCAGAATGCATTAATTCAATTTGGCACCAGGTTGGGGGAAGGCTGTGTAAAACCAAGCCAAGAGAGCACTTTGATTGCAGAACAAACGCTGCAAAGAGGCAGTGGGTGCTTCTTCACTGGATGTTTTCAAGCAGAAGTTAGGCAATTGTCTGCCTGAGATGCTCGGGTTAATTTGATGGCATCTTCCAATTTTATGGTTCTATGGAGCACCGCAATGTACAGCTGCTTTGTGCTCTCAAGCCTCCTACCGTTTCTCAAGTGTTACCTGGCCCACCTCTGTTTGAGAGATTGATTGAATCCTCCATTCCCTGCAGAAGACTTCTAAGTCTCTGCTGCTCCGTTAGAAGTGCTGAGGATTTCCCTTATTGAAGATTCAAAAATATATAACAAGGCTGGTTTACCCAGCTGCAACTGGAGGGCTGAAGATGTCGTTGCCCTCCTAATTCTTCCAGAATTAGCTTTTAGAGTAGTAGTTCTCCTGCTCTGTTCCTTCTGACCCGATAGATTCTCCAATTCATAGCAGTCTTTCCTCACTTGTTTCTCTTCAAGTACAAAACTGTATTTATTCGTTATGCACATTTGTCAAGATATACAAATCAACCACTGTAATAAATCATTTACGAATTTGCATCCAATAAAAATTCATAACTTAACAGTCCCCCCCAAAAAGGAAAAATAGATGCTCTGATTAATTTGATGGCACCTTCCAACTTTATGATTCTATGGAGCGCCACAATCTGGAGAGGACAGGTAGAAAAAAATTTCTCGGCAATAACACCTGTATCCTGAAGTCTTGCTTTGGCTCCTGTTGTGTAGCTATTCGGTTGCCTGTCAAAGCTCTTTTAAAACTGGCTTCTCAGCTTTCAAATTAGATTGGTTTTCTTACCTTAGCTCAGCCTTCTGTCATCTGTGACTCTTTGAATACGTTGCAGCTGTAAATTCCAGTGTTTCCAACAGCAGTGATGGCTGGTCATGTTGAAGGGTTGAGTTGCAATGTATCCAGGTGATGGCAGGTGGTGTAATTTATAATTTGCCTTTACTTTTTATTTTATTTTGCAGGTTAGAGCATGCTTGCATTTGAATGGAAATATAAGAGTTATTTACACCTGGTGAAGATGGGGGAATTCCCAGTTTGAATCCCCACTCAGACTTGATAGCTCAGACTGAGTGATTTTTTTGTTCAACATTTTATCTTAGATAATTTTGTAGGCTTGTTGGGAAAATAATTTTGATATGATCTGGGCCTCTTTGAACAAGGATAGTGCATAAGTGTGAAAGAGCAAATTATTTCTAATTTTGTTCGTTGCTTTGGTTGGCTCTGATTCAGGATGAGAAATCAACCACTGATATTCCATTTCTTTCCATCTCTCTGTTCTCACCTCTTTTCTATTCTAGTGAACCCATCCCTTCACATCATTACTACAATTGGCAGAACATCACAAGACTATCAAATGGTAAGTGGACAAGACAGGTTAAGTAACTCATAACCTATAATTCACTATTTTGGGTAAATAGTTACTTAGTTTGGATAAGCTCAGAGAGTAGCAGGAATCCCTTATTTCAACCCTGAGCTACAAATATTCTCCTTTATTGGGACTACTAATTTTTGTGTAGCAATCACACCAAGTTATTTTCTATTTTTGTTAACCAAACCTGGCCTAGGAAAAAAGTACAGGTAGTCCTCAATTTACGACTATTTGTTTCTGCTAGCAGTCAGCAGAATTAGCCTGCGATATTGCTTTCTAACCACTGCAATACCACGGCTCTATTCCCATGGATACCAAAATGTGATTGGGACAATCAAAAGTAATAGATGTAAGTTCTTTGGATAATGTTCTTTTCCTGTATTAAGTCAAATTGATATCTGTCCCAGTTGTATACTGCTGTTGCCCAATATGACTATAAACTTGGATATCTGCTCTAATGTCATGTGAATGCACAGCCTTACATTCTAGTCATATACTTTAAAACCTGCTCCAAATGGGGAGACTGTTTTTTCTTCTGGTTTCTATTATAGAAAGCACTTTCCAAGGAAGATCTGTATCTAATGATAACAAACCTCAAAGCTAAACATTCCAAAAGATGCTATTTTAAAAGAGAAAACAACTGGACTTTCTTTTTTCTATAAAGTTTGCTTCTTCTCCAAGAAGCTTCTTCAGTTCAGAAGAACTAAAGAAGCTTCTTGGATGAGAAGTGTAACAATTTCAAAGGAAAAAACCAAGACAGCCCAGTTGCCTTTTGGAAAAAAGCACCTCTGGGAAAACCAGGAGGACCTGGATGATTGAGAATCTCCATAGACATTCAATATTAAGCATTTTTCACCTTGCCCAAGACACTCTGTTCCACATATTCACCCGCTAAAGTCCCAGTCACCTGTAGGGATGGAGAGGATGTCAAAAACAGGAAGAACAGCAATAATGAAGTGAGATTTAAGAATTCACAAATAATGACCAGCTGTTTACATTTTTTTTCCTCTAGTTTTGAGAGATGAAGACATCTATGAGAACAGCCTAGCAATTCAGATATGGAAGCAGGCACAGATTTCAGGTAAACTCAGCCCCAAGAATTCAAAAGCAGGGTTGCTCAATGAATGAAAAAGGATTACAGTGGTTCTCAACCTTTTTTTCACCACAAACCTCCCACCCCCTGTAAATATCTTTTGTGGCCACAGATGCCCAAATCTCAAGATTTAAATTCTAACATTTCTTTAAGCCTTCATGGACCCCGTGTGATGACATTATGCTCCCGCAGGAGTCTGCAGACCATGGGTTAAGAACAACTAATCTATTACCACATACTTCAATTGAAACTAATAAATGCTGTCAGAGATCTTGGCTAATGAAAGGCTGCGATCTATGATATAGGAAAGCCTGGAATATGGGAGAACAGGAGCTGAATTCAATATGATCTGAAAGGAGATTTAAGATTGACGGCACTACCCAGCCTAGTTGAAAATTAAAGACCAATCTTCTTATGCTGCGTCACCTGTAAAGTCATGGAATCAATTATTAACCAATCCATTGTCCTCCACTTAGAGACAAACAACCTACTCTCCAATAAACAATTTGGTTTCAGGAAAAAACTATCCTGTAATCGGCAACTCTTACACTGCAAAAACATATGGACTACACTACTCGATCAGGGAAAAGCAATAGACACAATCTACATAGACTTCTGTAAACCTTTGATTCAGTGGTACACGACAAACTACTCCTAAAACTAAAATCTTATGGTATCTCTGGACACCTATGTAACTGGATAGAAGCATTCCTGTCAAACAGACAACAAATGGTCAAAATTGGGAGCGTCTTATCAAATTCTGTACCTGTCAACAGTGGTGTCCCCAAGGCAGTGTTTTAGGACCAACTCTTTTCATACTCTACACAAATGACCTCTGTGATCATATTAAGAGCAACTGCATTCTCTTTGCTGATGATGTAAAGCTATTCAACACCACACTGCTACCCTTCAAAAAGACCTTGACTATGTATCAGAATGGTCAAACAAATGGCAACTTCAAATCTCAACAAATAAATGCTCTGTCCTACATATTGGCAAAAAAAATCAGAAAATAAAATATAAGCTATATGGTCAAGACCTTGTTGAGGATCCAAACTTTGTCAAGGACCTTGGAGTACACATCTCAAATGATCTAAATGCTAGAGCCCACTGTAACTACATAGCCAAAAAGGCATTAAAAGTTATTAATCTAATCCTACGTAGCTTCTTCTCTGGTAATATCACACTACTAACTAGAGCATACAAAACATTTGCTAGACCTATACTTGAATACAGCTCATCAGTCTGGAATCCACATTACATATCTGATATTAACACAATTGAAAAAGTCCAGAAATATTTCACAAGAAGAGTTCTCCGCTCCTCTACTCATTGCAGAATACCTTATGCCACCAGACTTGAAACTCTAGATCTAGAAAACCTAGAACTAGGCCACCTCCGGTCCGATCTAAATATACAGTAGTATATAAAATCATACATTGCAATGTCCTGCCTGCAAATGAATATCTCAGCTTTAATCATAACAATACAAGAGCACACAATAGATACAAACTCAAGGTTAACCGCACCAAACTTGACTGCAGAAAACACGACTTCAGCAACAGAGTGGCCAATGTTTGGAATACTCTACCTGGTTTCTTCCCCAAACCCCAAAAACTTTAACCTTAGACTGTCTACTATTGACCTCACCCACTTCCTAAGAGGCCTGTAGGGGGCGTGCATAAGTGCACCAATCGTGCCTACCGTCCCTGTCCTATTGTGTTTTTTTATTTTTCTTATAAGTATCTATCTCATGTATTCACAACTATATTTATTCTTATACCTGTATCTTGTAAGCGATTGACAAATCAAATAAATACTAAATACTATTACATAAGAGGTGCTATTAGGATTAGTTGACATCTTATAGAAGAAAATAGAATAGAATAGAATAGAATAGAATAGAATTAGATAGATAGATAGATAGATAGATAGATAGATAGATAGATAGATAGATAGATAGATAGATAGATGATAGAATACTTTATTGGCCAAGTGTGATTGGACACACAAGGAATTTGTCTTGGTACAAATGCGCTCAGTGTACATAAAAGAAAAGATACATTCGTCAAGAATCATAAGATACGACACTAGTCATAAGCAATCAAATCATACTAGGAAACAGTCAATATAAATCGTAAGGATACAAGTGACAAAGTTACAGTCATATAGTCACAAGTGGGAGAGGATGGGTGATAAGGAGTCATGAAAAGGTTAATAGTAATAGTAGTGCAGACTTTGTAAATAGTTGGACAGTGTTGAGGGAATTATTTGTTTAGCAGTGTGATGGCTTTCGGGAAAAAACTGTCCTTGTGTCTAGTCGTTCTGGTGTGCAGTGCTCTATAGCGTCGTTTTGAGGGAAGGAGTTGAAGCAGTTTATGTCCAGGATGTGAGGGGTCTGTAAATATTTTCACAGCCCTCTTTCTGACTCGTGCAGTATACAGGTCCTCAATTGAAGGCAGGCTTGTCGTAATTGTTTTTCTGCAGTCCTGGAGGTATTTATAATATTGTGCATAGTATTGTATTGGCCTACAACCAATAATGGTGGCAAAGTGATAGACCGTCAGTTGCCTTCTAGTTTTTAACCTGGATGTTTCAGTACTGCTATATAGCCCTAGCAAGCTTCTTTTTCTGCTCCACCTATGTATAATTATTTTCTCATTCCAGAAAGCAACAGTGTTAATCGTAAAGAAGAATCTATTTACATCAATACAGAACAATATAGCAGGTAATTATGCAGACAAGCCGTGCTCTCCTTCACTGGGAATGATACAGGATGTGTGCAGTCATTCATTGTCAATGTGAATCCCTAGTTGTTATGTCTTCCCATAAGAGAAAAAAATAATTCTAATTCATTTAATACCAAAGAATGTTTTTTAGACAGTCTCAGTTTCAAAATCTGGTAAATTCTATTTAAGGAATCTTAAATGTAGTTTCCATCTAAAACAAAGGAAACTCTTTTCTTTTCAAGTTCTAATTGGTGTTTCTCAACCGTGGTAATTTTTAGATGTGTGGACTTCAACGCATAGCTGGCTGGGGAATTCTGGGAGTTGAAGTCCACACATATGAAAAGGTTTCAAGATTGAGAAACAGTCTATTTGAATGATGACACTGGTGAGTATTGTCTATAGAAAATTAGTTTATCAGAAATCAAAGGGTTTTTTTTAAACTCAGTCAAGATATTGAAATATAAGAGCATGCAATGGAATTAAAGGGATTCCATGATATAAGTGGGTATAGATAAGTCCTTGACTTATGACTGGTCACTCAGCAACTGTTCAAAGTTACAACAGACTCCCCCAAAAGGTATTTATGACCTGGTTCCAAAGTTTCAAAAATGGCTGCCTACCCCTGCAGTCACGTGACTGTATTTTGGACACCAGGCTATCAGCCTGTTTGTATATCCTGCGGTCACATGAATGCAATTTACATCGTTTTTGCAAAAAAAAAAAAGGCATTTATTTCTGATTCTAGCAGTTTATATATTACTCTAGAGCGATTTACAAAATTTAGCATATTGTCTCCAACAATATGGGTCTTTATTTTACCAACTTTGGAAGGATGGAAGATTGAGTCAATTTTCAGCCAGTCAGGATCAAACTGCTAGCAATGGGCAGAGTTAGCATGCAATACTGCATTCTAACCACTGTGCCATCACAGTGCCAATAAAACTGTCTATAGTGAACAATGGGTTCACTTAACAACTGCCACAAGATTATAAAATTGGGTCAGTCACTAATGACCTGCTTTATGACAATCATGATTTATGAGTGTAATTGCCTAATGGTCATAGACTGAGGACTATCTGTATAAGGCAAGACTGTGGTCACACTGTCAATCAGCAGTCATTGTGATTAAGTGCAGGAGATCTGGTACTAGCTTTTCAAACCCACCCATTTGTTAGTGTGAAAGGATACTACCAGATACTTCCTGGTGTTTTGGTTACCAGAGTAACATGGCTTCCCTCCAAAACCTTCTAATGTGATTTCCAACTGCATTAAAAATACATTTAAACCTCATCTTGAGAATTAAATTACCTTTTTATTTTACCAGGTCTCAAGGTAGAGATGCCCATTTGTGAGAAATTGGTATCCTAAAATCTACTTTTTAATGGGTTAGCCTGGGATTCAGACAATCTTTCCACCTGTGACTGAAATCTTCAAGGGCCAAAATCCAAAAGGAATGAAAGCATCCCAATGCCAACATACCAGAAGACTGGATAACAACACTGAACTAGTTTACAGGATTGTCATACCTTGTTCTTTCCACATCTTCCTGGCCCTACTTGTCAGCATTGTTATTTCTGACTTACTTTGCGGACCTTAACATAATTTATCACAATCTCCCGGGTAGTGAATCTTACTTTGGCAATATTTATGAAGCATGTCTGGATTTCATCTGACCATATTGTAGGATAATTTTTAAGAAATCTGCAGAAATGACAAGCCTCCACATCATTAAATAAATAAAATATAATAGTGTAAGCTTCCGTTTCTATTCCTATATTTGTTTTGGGATAGACACTCACAGCAACTCCAGAAATCGGCGTTATCGATATTATTATAGTGGTATGTGCAGTAAGCCAGAAATTTAGACTGGATTTGGCACTTGTTGCCATTATGGAGTCATCCACAAGGACCTGGGATAGCCAGATGCTCTTTAATAGTATTACAGGTATCATCTCAGAAAGTAAGTTATTCTAAGTAAAGCTGCCTTCTGAAATTGATTGGTTTTGTTCATGCTGTTCATGTTCAAGTAGTGCTCCAGATGTTTTGGAATTGTACCCAACAGCCCTGTTACAATTGGTACTATCTTTGCTTTCTTTTGCCATAGATGTTTACATTTATTTGTGCGTCTTTATATTTTGTGATTTTTCTCCAGTTAATTCCCTATTATTCTGCTGTTATCAGGTATTACAAGGTCCACTATTATTATTTTGAGACCGCAGCAATCACTCTGGTTCAAGGAAGATGACAGATTAATTCCTAGACAAAAAAAAAAAAGCTAAAAAGCAGAAAAATAACCCTTCTGTATACAAAAGGATCAGAAATAGAATTACACATTTTGGTTTCTTTTCTTGGATACTAGAAGGCTGGAGACTACTTTTCTAAAATAATAATTTGGGAATTCCCTATTCCACCCCAGACACCCATAGTGCAATTCTTTCTAAAGGATATGTACAAAACTAGACAGATTAACAAAACAATGGTTTAGGATTGTCAAGAACAAGTTTTAAAAGCAAAGTTGGAAGAAATTGAGTTTTTGTTAGCATAGCATATTAATACTGTCACCAAGAGACTACAGAGGCATGACTGAATCTAAGGGGCTTGGGAATTAATTGTAGTTACTGAACATAACTTAAATTCAGGACATAACACAATTCTTAACAGTAAGTTTGTAATGATTTAGTGCACAAATGAGCAATCTTGAAGACCAAGGGTTGCATTCAATACAAGTAGAAGTGTGGGTTGGAGTGAGTAGCTGCAAAAGTGGATGAAGACACATAATATATGTTGCTCTGGAGGCAGTGGGATTATTTATATTTTCAAGTGGGCTAAATTCACTTGAAGGCTTGTGTTTTAACATTTACAGCTATATCTCTACCTTAACATGGTAGGAAACTGCTGATCAGATGACTCTAAAAGTTATTTTAAAAAGGCCTTGAGGGTTTCAGACTGTCTCCTCTCATCTAGAATGGTGTTTCCCTTTGTTTCAGAAGTTGTGATGATCCCATTCTTTCATTTCCTTTCTAGGTCTCCTGCATAAAAACCGGTAAATATTGCTTCATTAGCTAAAGAATCTCTTTTTAAAAAAAAAAAACTCAAAGGGATTTTGGAATCATCTAGCCTCTTGCAAAGGTTTCCAGCCCTTGAAATATAGTAGATATATAATACGTAGCATACTCAACTGATTATCCACAATTCTCCTATCATCAGTTTCTCTTTGTTTGGTTCCTAATCTGCATTTTGTCTATATTTTGAACAATTTAGAGAAATGTGATCTGGGCATAACTTAAAACATAGATCCTGAATGGGTTTTGTCTAAAGCAGCTGGCTGAAGAAGTATCCCATTATTTATCAATGATCCCAAATATGCCCTTTTGGTCATAGTCTTGCTAGTCACCATTATGAATAAAAGGACATACTCAGGATTGCTTCTAAATCATGGGGCGGTTTATTTAACAAGCATTCCAGGAGTTAGACTGTTCTCTTGTAGCGGCTTGAGAAAAATCAAGGGTCATTGTTCTCAAATTGTTGTGTTCCCTACAATAGACCATGATGATGACCAAAGTACATGTTTCTGAAGATTTATTATCCAAAATAGCTAGTGTAATAGTGTCTACCTGGAAAATCGCGGGACAGCAACTACCCAACATAATATGCTCACAGGTTTCTCAGAAGAATCTAGCTGGCCTTGCATCCAGTAGTCTGCTGCATTAAAGTGGACGTTGGTCTAATATGGAAGATCCTTTCCTCCCCTCAGCATTCTGTCAGCTGGAACTTGATGGATTCGAACATCTTCAGATGAAGGACAAGCCACCTTCCAAATATTGCTGAAGATTAGCTCTAATCAACTGGCCAGTAGCAAGGGTAGTTGCTAGCAGTAATTCACCAGCTCTAGGTTACATGTTCTTGCTTTCACCAAATGAATTTCTTGCCTGAATATCTCTGAAATGCTTAAGTACTTTAGTGCCAAATATATTTTAATTTTCAGTTCCATCTAGTGCTATTAAAGAGGCATTACTATATAATCTTGGCTGAATAATTTAAGAAAGGAAGACTATTCGGATTCTTAAAAGCACGAGAGGGAAAAAATGTATTCACATTCCTAGGCAATACCATTGGTGTAGTAAAGTTTATGGCTGATAGTTTTTATAATAAAGTTTTATTTATCTGTAAAAAAACACAAGTCGTAAGAGAAACCACAGCTTTGACAAGTGCATTTGCACCCACCAACTATATGCTAAGCCGTGCCCTCATACTTTGGTTGCGCAAAGAAGCTAGTCAGTTTGCAAAATCTCCTCTTTATTGGCCAACTTGCCGTCCATCCTCTCAGCTTGTGGTAGGAGCAGCAGTCTTCTGACAGAGGCGGGCTAACAATCCTGCCATTTGTAGGAGCGAATTTACTCCTTCAACTATCTTCATGTGCGTATAACCGATTTCCTAATCATAGAGGGGGAAAAAAGATATTAAATTCAAATGAGCTTCCTATTTTTCCTGCTGTAAAGAAACAATATTTCAGTATACATTCATGAAATCACAACCGCTATATTTTCATGTTGCAGCTACCTATGCACATGCAAACTGAGATGTGGAAGAAGAAACCACACAGAGGAAATACCTCAACTAAACAAGAAAACTCACCCCTGAGTAAAAAGCAACTAGTGTTACGTCTTGCCCTAAAACTATCCTCGGAATTCCCAACATCATTTGATGGAGACAGTTGTATACAGGTAGTCCTCGATTTACGACAACAACTGAGCCCCAAACTCCTGTTGCTTAGCAAGACAGTTGAGTTTTGCCCCATTTTTACCTTTCTTGCTGGTTGTTAAATGAATCATTGTAATTGTTAAGTGTCATGGTTGTAATTGTTAAGTGTCATGGTTGTTAAGTAAATCCAGTTGCTTCACTGACTTTGCTTGTCAGAAGGTCACAAAAGGTAATCCCGTGACCCTGGGACAAATGCCACTATCATCCATTCATGCCAAATGTCCGAATTTTGATCACATGACCATGGGGACACTGTGACCGTTTTAAGTGTGAAAAATGGTCATAGGTTCACTTTTTTTCAGTGCCATTGTTATTTTGAATGGTCACTAAAGGAATGGTTGTAGGTCGAGGATTACTTGTAGTGGAAAAAAAGGGATGGATTAAGAAAATGTGATATCTCAGTAGATACAAAAACAGGGATATACCCTCTCTGAATTAGGAGGCCCTCTTAACATCAACTCAAGCACTAGTCACATAGCTGGATTACTGCAATGCCATGTTCCATAGGGCTTTTCTTGAAGTTCACCTAGAAGGTGCAGCTGGTCCATAATGCAGGGGAATATCAGCCCTGGGCATGCCTCATATATACTCATATGACTTCACGATTACCACCTCTAAAGCATAGTATCAGGTTATTTGGGAAACTACTTATGTCCCATAGTCTCTGCCCATTCAGTAAGATTTTCCATTCATTATTCCATTTGTATGATAAGCCACCTGATCCAAGCAATTTTGTGTGGCTTCAAACAGGTAAACACATTCCAATAAAGCTATGTTCAAAACCAATAAGCATACAAAATCCATCTGTAATCCATTTATAACAGAAAAGCATGATTCTCAGCACAGCTTTTGGTAAGAGCTCTCCACCATTGCCAGACCCTGAGGCAAAGCGGCAGATTCCTGTCTTCATGGCCTTCCTAAAGGCTGGGAGGGTCAGGGCCAATCTAAGGTCCCGGTTAAGGGGGGGACCATAATGTTGCACAGGGCGGGTGCCACAGCAGAAAAGGCTCCCTCCCTGGATCCTACTAAACAAAGCTCTTTGGCCAACAGGACCCACAAAATGCCTTTCCTGACAATTCTGGCAGAGATGATGTGCATAAAGATCCCTCAAGCAGTTGCCTTCTTTGTTATGGCTCTTGCCCTCTGGAAAGAGATCTCTTAGAGACTCATTTAGCTCCTTCCCATTCCCACAAGTTTTTTTTTTTTTAAGCGGCTCTTCTCTCAGACCTTTGACTAGAGTGTTTCTAGACTTCTGAGTGATTATCTGTACTTTATCTGGACACTTAGGTGACTTCAATTGTTTGTTTGTTTTAACATTTTCCTATTGTAATTGCTAGGGCACCCAGAGTAATTCTATTAAATAAAATGAACACATCCAAGGGACACATGTATAATACGTGGCATGAGGTGTGGGGAGTGAAGCAGCTTCTTGAAAATCTGAAGACTCCTTTTAAGTTTCCTATCCTTCTACTCCTAAATGGACGACGAAATCACTTCAAGTGGAGCAAGAGAGTTAGAGATGTTTTGTGCAGTTTTACTTTGGGATGGGATGTAATGGAATTCATTAGTATCCTTTTCACCTGTTTAAGGAGGAAGTTTATACAGGATTATAAATGGATCTATATAAAGATCCAGATGTTAAAAAGATTCTTTCTTCAGGCACTTGGGCTTGCATAGCCAACCCTGCTGCTTACACCAGCAACTCCCACAAAACCTAACCTTAATAAACTCCAACTTCAGATATTCTGCCATTTGGAATGTTTTACAGACTCGGAAAATATTGCTGATGATGTCTTCAGGTGAGTAACCAAGCTTCCATAAGTGAGCAAGAATCTGAAGAAAGAACAAAATTATCATTCGATATCAAACAGTTTTAAAGATATACATCCAGTTTCTCAAACACTATTTTTAAGTCAGCTCAAACATCAACGAAAATCAATATAATCACAATTAAATTATAAAGATAATGGACTTCAAAAAGGAGAACAAAGAGGAAAACTTGTGACATGCCTTTTCTCCATGACCCCAGCCTGTTGTTGCCTTTAGAACATATAATTAAAACCATGACCTAGGGCAATATGTTAAGCAATCCACGAGCTCTTAGAATGGCTGTGAGAAAGACATCCTTTTACAGATGTGGTTCCGGTCCTATGTTCACATTTTACAGATGTGGTTCCTGTCCTACGTTCTGGCAAGAAAACCAGAAAGCAAAAGAGGCAAAAGATATGCACTCCTCTTGTGCCCACCTTGTAAGCTTCATCGATGTTCGCATTGACACAATGGCCGATCATCTCCTTCACCAACAAAGGATGGGGCTCATCACACACCTGTGGCAAAAACAGAAGCATCATCATGAAGTCAAAAGCCCCCAATGCTATTGAAAACAGTTATGGTCCATATTTCCATAAAGAAAGATCAACCTATTTGAACTATACAAGGCTGCACAGGTCCTATAAGACCTGGAAAGATATGGGAACTACAAGTCTGCCAAAGTGGAACTGCTTCAGGATAATTTCATAGGAACTCAATAAAACACAGCCTAATCTCTTAAACACAGACTCTTCAGGCTCTTTGTTTCAAACTAGCACATTTTTAAAAAAACGTGTAAACAAATGCACTTTTCCCCTCAGGAAATTGACGTCCCAATTCATGATCTATATCTAAATTCTTCCATGAAACTGGTTGCTTACTGGCATTAACAATGACCAAAGTAGATGGTAGAGTGTTTAGAAGTCTGGTTCCAAGAAGGATTGGGGTAAAAAATAGCAAGCCATCAGGGTAAACAGTATTAAAGTGGGTGGATTTAGAGTCTGATCTGGCATAAAGCAACTTCCTATGTGACAGGATCTTAGAAGTGAGCCACTGTGGGAATATTCACGTGGGCAGGATAAAGATTTTCTTCGGAGAAGACATTTTAAAGATCAGGGGGTTTTTTTGATGGGGGACTTTAAAAAGGGGCAGCAAACAAGAGATGCCCAATGCAAAAGAAGAATCATGCTACCTTTAAATACAAAACAATAAAATACATTTTAGGGGGTAATTTTAATGTAGCACCCCTTCCACCATTTTGCCAAAACTCCTTTACAATTCTGCAAATCGCACTGACTCTGACGGGCAAAAGAAAAACTTCCCAAAGAAGAGAATATATGTAGCTTAGAACTACAGAGTCCTTGGTGCTCTTTGAACTTGGCTGTTTGCTTGCAGAGATTTCATTACCCAGCCATGTAACATCATCAGTGCAGTTTTAAAGAAAAAACTTTAATTAACCTTAAATACATTCTCACTATTGATGAAACCAAATCCGGAATGGGTAGATTGCAAGTTGTTTAGTGCCTGTTAAAAGAATGAAAACATACTACCATTACTATATTTAAAAAAA